TCTGCTTAGAAGATGATTACGAAGAGTGGTTTTCAAACTATGGATCCTTTCAAACTATGGACATGAATAGGCGGAGCACGGCAGAAGAAACACAAATGGTCAGAATGTGAAAAACAAACAACTTTGCAGGCATCCCAGTGAATCCAGTCAGTGTGGTGGGGGGACCCACATTCATTTCATAAGATTGATTAAATTTCTGCAAATGAGCCTCCACTGTAGTCAAGGGTAGGGAAAGTGATATTCTCATACTGCTGAGTACTGTGATTTAAACTTTATAGGCGGGGGTAAACTTTGGAGCATATATCGAACTTTTAAATATTAGTGACTTGGTGTCATATGTTCTGTGGCAGATAAACTGCTATAGATTCATGCATTGTAGTTACAAATTTTTATTTTATTTTTCAATAATATACTTTCAAATTTATAAACAAGGAAGGCATGCTTCCTTGAGAAAACATGCTTTTCGAAAATGGAAGCGAGCTCATTTGCATCATAAAGACTTGTATAGAAGAGATCAAGGAAGGGTTTCTTTTATTTTTATTTTTAAATTTTTTTTTTTATAGAGGCATGCTTTATTTATTTATTTATTTGTTTGTTTTTTGTTTATACATGCACTGGGTACAGTCAGAAGCGCGGGAGGGTGAGAGAATTCACCAGAGCCAGAGCGGGGAGCAGAGCAGGCAGATTGATGAAGTACACTGCCGAGGGGAGCAGCGGGCAGCAGGAGAGGTCTGCGCGCCATGTGGGACCCTCCTCCGGTGGCCGGGGAGCAGCCGGGGATCGAACCGGCGCCGCAGCGGCCGCGGGCACCTTTGCAACCCAGCGCTCAACCGCTGCGCCACCGGGGAGGCCCAAGGAAGGGTTTCTTTTAATAATAAGTGACCCTTTTGTGTTTACTATGAGTTGATTATCAGTGTAGTATGTGTATAGCTTAGCTTTGCAGTTAGAGTGAAGTCATCTAGATGTTGGCATAGTTAAGGTTGATTGTGGGTTCCAAAATAAGTTCTAATTCTGATCAGAAGCCCCAGCGAGTCAGGATCAGTCTTTATATCTGGTAGAGACTGCATGTTTGAGGAAGGTGGTGCTTTAGGAAGACGACCTGGCAGCACAGAGAATAGCCTGATCCTGTAGGCTTGCGATTCAGTGGCCACAAAGGCGGGAACCGGGGGAAAGTATTGATTCTGGGAGAGATCCTTTAACTGGGGCCTGGCAATATGTTGGGGGACAGTAAAAGATAAAGAGGGAATGAAAGATGGGCTTCTTGGCAGAAACAGACTGGCAAAAGGGAGTTGCCATGTTGAGAGAAGACCCATGGGAAGACCCAGGAGTCAAATTTGCCGTGTGGTGGTGCACCCATGGTGCTGGAATGAGGAGGCTGGGAGTTGGGGTGTGGGTAAGATTTGAGCTTGAAGATATGTCAGTTGGTGATGTGGATTTGGGGAGAAGGTAATGTTGGGAGCTGAATGCTTAGACTGAAAAGGAGCGTTGGTGAAAGGGACCCATCGTTGGAGAGTCAGTCCAGTGGACTAAGTGTCCAGACAGTGGAGTTATAACTGCCCTTGCCTGGCTTTCTTATGGCTTCAGCAATAGTTAAGGCGATAACCAAAGTGAGAATTTGATCCCAGAAATCAGTTCAGCACATTTTACTCTGAGAGATGTTCTAATAGTTCTAAACACAAGTTGAATTTAATAGTTTCTAAAAAAAAAAAAAAAAATAGTTTCTATAGGTAGGAACAGTGAGTCATTGACATCAAGAGTGCAATTATTCTTGCTAGGAGGGCATTCTAGTTCTAGGTTATCCTGACCTAAAGACAGACTGATGCTAGGGGATACAGGATTTAATTTTTTTCCTTTGCTAATGAATATACTGCTGAGATGCAAAGACTGGGTACCCATTGTCAAATCTTTATTTTTATTTTTTATGAAGATTTATTTATTTATGCATGCAAGAACTGGGGTAGAGGCCAGAGGTGTGGGGGGTGGTGAGAGGATTCACCAGACACAGAGTGGGGAACAGAACAGGCAGGTCGACTGAAATACACTGCTGAGGGGAGCAGCGGGTGAGTCAGGAGAGGTCTGCTGCGCCATGTGGGTAGCTCCCTGGCTGGGAAATCGAATTCATGCTACAGTGGCTGGTGATTGCTTGATAGCAGTGAAGATCACTGTTGTTTTATGGGCCTAGTCAGAAGGAAATGAACCTCTTTAGGTGTCCTTCTTCAGCAGTTTTATCTAGTCTGCTTAGAAGATGATTACGAAGAGTGGTTTTCAAACTATGGATCCTGTACAAGGCATGGTATGATCCTTCTCCAACCTTCTGAAAAGTGGAGTTTCCACTGTTGCAATTAGAAAAGAGAACTCTTTCTAATTCTGATGAAGAATTCATTTGGCTAAAGGGTATTGTGGTTTGAAAAAAGTGAACCACTGATTTAAAAAACCAAGCATGCCATGTACTTCCACAAATTAAAATCACATGGCAGCACCTTAGAGTTTCATATTATGGAGAAGCCAAAGGAATTTATGTTATATAGTACACTGATTCTTCTCAGCTACTGTTGGAAAGAGATGAATCCATCCGGTTAGCGGGCATACTGAAAGGCACCTCAGGATCCCCAAACCTTGCACACTCTGAGTAGGCTTGTTACGGAGCAGCCCCGATATAAAACGGGTTGCCTGGTTGTGGGTCCTCACCCGCGTGCTTAGAAAGGGACTTATTTATACTCCAGTACAGGCACACACAAAAGGTTAATAAAAGGTTTTTTTTACAAGGGAAAAGGAATTGAGGAAATGTACAACTCAGGGAGAAAATAGGGAAATAAAGTCTTTAATGCGTCCTACCCGATCCGCTGACCTGGAAACCCAAAGGCACTCTCAGGGCTGGCAGCGCACTGCGAGCTGGCGGGGAGCCAAAAAGGGGGATCCCCCAAAGCTCTCGTGTCTGGTTTTATACCAACCTGGCTGCTTAACCCCACCCTCAGGTTCCAGCCACCCTCCCTTTGGTGGTGATGGGATTTGGAGTTCCCAGTGTCTTTGGCTTTGGCCTGGAGTGGGGGTGGAGTCCACAATGCCTGTATGGAATTAGCTTTAGGACAGCCTTTCCCCCTAACAGGCTCTGCCATCCAGCTCACAAAGACAAAATATACCCTTAGTGTATAAGACCTTCAAGAGAAAAGAACTTTTATAGAATTAGTGTGTAATAGAGAGAAGAGAAGAGAAAGAATATAGTTGTTTCCCAGTGAAACACTCGAAGTTACCCATCCTCTTGTGAGAAAATGCCAGTCAAGTGGGGTTGGACCAAGGTGGGATCATGAGGCTGGATACTTGCCAAGGGTTTCAAGCTCTTCTGGTGGGAAACTGCAGTAAAGGGGCAGAAGGGGCCAGGCAAGTCTGGAAGGACAGGAGCAAAATTCAAAGTGTACGGGTCAAGATAAAGGCTGCCATTGTCATCAGCCCTTCAGGTCTCTCTCTCAAGTCTCTGTCTCTTTCAGATGTTTCCTTCCATGTCTCCCAAGTCCCTGCACAAGTTCAAGACCAAGAAGCCAGTGCAGCTTCTCCTTCTCATGTCTCTCTGCTCCACATATCTCTTCCAGTTCTCTCTCTCCAGTCCTTTCTAGCTTCCCCTTCCCACTCGGCTCTGCCCTTCCTTATGTGGGGCAGCGAGCATGGAACCTGTCCTTTCCATGGAGATTATGCTGTTAGAATTCCAAGGCAGAAATAGCCAAAAAATTATTTCTGTAAATAACTGACATGAAAGTTTTAACCTAATTGTCTGCAGAATGAGGCCTATCTCCCGGAGGCTTCAGACTGACCTCAAAGAAATTTTTGTACAGACTTAAGAAGAAAATGACCTGATAAACATTGTGTACAAGGAAGTCTAAGTTTGGTCATCTTTAGGCAAATGATGAGGTCATACATAAAGTAATAGATTTGAATATTGTTTTGTGTACATAGGTATTTGTAATTTTTCTATTTTTTTTTTAAATATTTTTAGGAGCACTGTAGTCAGTAATACAGTGTTGGCGTTTCCAAATTTCCATGTATCCCTAGACTTATTCTGAAATACCTAAGGTAGCCATTTTCCCCTCTGACCTTTTAAGAATGCTCCCCAGGAGTGACTTGCCTGCTTATGTAGGTGAGTCCTGTTTGTCACCAATGGCTTGTGACCTTGGGGCCATGACTATGCCTTTCCATTAATTTTCTGCATTAGAAAGTATGAAAGAGACCACCCCTCTATCTGGTTTACTTAAGGACATTTGAGGGCCTCCTTGGTGGTGCAGGGGTTAAGTCTCAGTGCTATCAAGCTATCTCCAGCCACTGTAGCTCTAGTTGATTTCAGTCTCCGGCCAGGGAGCTACCCACATAGCGCAGCAGACCTCTCCTGACTCACCCCCTGCTCCCCTCGGCAGTGTATTTTGGTCAGTCTGCCTGTTCTGCTCCCCACTGTCTCTCTGGTGACTCCTCTCACACTTCCTCTCCCCCCCCATCTCTGGCCTGTACCTGTACCCCAGCTCTTGTATACATATAAATAAATCTTTAAAAAAGAAAAGAAAACCCGAGGGATAGGACTGCATTTGGTCAGTTGAGCTTTTTACAATACTTAGAACTAAACCTTTAGGGACTTGGTTTTTGTGCCCCACCAACCCCCTGTCCTGGATCCCCTAGGACCACCGAACCCCATTGGTGTGGCATAGAATTTGTTTCTATGAAAACAAATCAGAACTTAACACTGTCTTAACTAGAGTTGGTGCCAATAAGTTCCACACCTTAAACTCTACATTTTTAGAATACATTAGTTGCTGATCTATTTTGGTGGTGTTTGGAGAGGCCAAGGCTAAACTTGGTGGCAGTCTCTTAATTTTAAGTTGATTTTCTGAGAAGACGTTCCCCTTACGGGGTTTGGAAATCCTTGCTACTTATAATGCAGTCTAATGGATTGGTGTTCTGGAAGGCTTGTGATGGAGAATGTTTGTGGTTTCTAACTAAACTTTGATCTTTTTCTTAAGCTGCTCATGTTTCCCACCTGGAGAATGTGTCAGAGGAAGAAATGAACAGGCTCCTGGGAATAGTGTTGGATGTGGAATATCTCTTTACCTGTGTCCACAAGGAGGAAGATGCGGATACCAAACAAGTTTATTTCTACTTATTCAAGGTGAGATTTTAGGACTTCTTTCTTTCATCTTTCAAATATTTAATTGTGCTCAGTTTCTGTATCCCAGGTAATGGGTGGGAAGGCGCTCAGCTCATTGTGCATTGTGGGAGCATGTATTTTTTCATGACGTCTTCTCTAAAATGACCCACCATACTTTTAATACATCACTCCTTCAGAGCCTTCACACTGGTAGGCAATGTTGAGTGTCTTTTTTTTTTTTGGTATACGCCTGTAGATTTCTTACTTTCTGCCCATCCATTCATCCGTGCAACAGATACTTACTACACGCTTGCTCTGTGCATGGCTCTCACATGTGAGGGATAGATAGTTCATTGGGCAAAAAAAATCCTTGTCCTTTTGGAGTTTACATTTCAGTAGAAGAGGCAGACAGTCAACAAGCAAATACTGTATTTGGAGGTGGTGATAAGCACTGTGAAGAGAAACAGTAGGGTCAGTGGACTCAGAATGGCAGGATTGGTGGTATAGGATGGCACATGATTATGAGGAGAGACAGACAGAAAGGCCCTTCTGAAAAGGTGACAGTTGAACAGAAACCCGAAAGGGGATGGGAACCCTCCTTGAAGAGAGCCGGGGAAGAGCTGTTCAGGCAGAGCAGGCATTGAGGTCGTGTATGGAATGCTCTTGATGTGATATGGAGAGGCCTGGAGAGCAACGGGAGGGTGGGAGATATAGACAGAAGGGTGATCCTAGGGTCTTGACTTCTGCTTCAAGGCTAGGAATCAAGAATTTGCACATTTGTTTTGGCATCTTACCCACTGTTTATATCTTGTTGATACTAGTTACCCACAATTGCTTCCGTTTCCCATAGTTGCCTCTTTATGGATCTGTTTCATCTTCATTTGGATCATGTCAATCTGTTACAGGGCAGGGAGAGAGGCACCCCAGACCCCCCAAACCTGCCTGCTCTAAACCTGCCACCTGCCGCATCAACACAGAACATAGGAGACTTTAATGGGAAGGAACTTTAATACAATTAAGAAACAAGACAGGAAAGGCAAAGAATATAGTTTCTAAATCAAGCACCCAAAGTAACCCGTCCCCTCGTGGGTAAAAGTCCACCCAAGCAGGACTGGCCCAGAGCAAGGCCCCAAAGCCTGCCACAAGTCTAAAGCATCTTCCAGTGGGGACCCACAGAAAAGGGTCAGAAGCCACCAGACAAGTCTGGGAGGAAAAGAGCAAAATCAAGACAAAAACCGCCATTGTCACCTCCCCACGGGTCTCTCGCCCACATCTGTGTCACCCAGTCCATGACCAAAAGGCAAGTGTAGTTTCTTCACGTGTCTCTTGGCTCCATGTGCCTCCTCTGGGTCTCCTTCTGGCTCCTCATCCTGCTTCCTTCCTCAGTCTCCTCTGCAGCTTTTTCTCTCCCTGCTCAGCTGGAACCTCCCCCTTTCCTGGGGACCATCCTGTTACACATTCTCCTCCCACAGATGTCAGAGGGAAACCAGTGGTGGGAATGGATGGATTCATGAAGGAGGCTGAGAAAGAATATTTAAAAAACCCCATCAACACTGTTGATTATTTTGAATTATGTAACCCTTGTAAGGATCTTCAAAAACAAACAAAAATTCAAACATTTCACTAGAACTTACAGTCAGGAAAGATTTGTATTAAGTGCTATGCTTTCCTTTTATGAAAGGACAGAAACTTTTTTTTTATTGAATTTCCCTTTTTGCTTTGGCTGCTAGGAACCTCAGTGCAAGTTTTATCTCAATTCCTATAACCTTGTTTGGGGTATGAATTTATTTGGTGATAATTTTCCCTTTTACTAGCTTTTGTCTTTTATTGTATCAATATTAATGGGGGCCTTTGGGTGGATAAGGAGCAGCAGTGGGAGGGAGAGAAATTTTTTTTTTAATTAGGGGAGTGTGTGGGAATATTAACTCTAAGAAGATTATTGGCTGGGGGAGAGTGAGGGAGGACTAGAGAGAGAGGGAGAAAGAGAGAAGGGGTGGGGGACAATGAACAATTGAATTCCCCACAGCAATTACCAGGCACTAGGCTACTCCAAGTGACAACTTGTTGACATGGCTGTGAGGCCTGAGTCATCCAAATTGAACCCTGGCAGGTTCATACTGTTTAGGGGTTTTTTGGAAAAAAGATCTTAGTTGAAGAAAAACAACGTCTGCCTGACTACAGCTATTATTTGTCTTGGAACTGAGCTCCTGGCCGCCCCCCACCGCCCTGTTGGAAGTGAAGGTGGTGTCAAGGTTTCCATCCTGTCAGCCTCCTCCTGATGCTGTTTATAATCAACCAAACAGGCAGAAAGCACTGCTCAGCTTTGAAGTACATGCTCTTGCTCTCTTTCTTACCTCCTTAATCTTTAACTAACAGTGCAAATATGCTTGCTTGTGGAAACAACATGCAAAATATTCAGCATTCTCACTCCTCCACCCTCCACCCCCCTCATTCTTCAGTCAAATAGTTGTAAAGCACCCATTTCTTAGCTCTCGAAAGGCAATTCCTATGTCTCATTGATTTTAATAATTAAATGAAAATGAAAATTTAAATTAAAAAATTTTCATTCTTAAATATTAAAACTCAGTGAATCCTGCGGCCTTCATGGGAGACTCTGGAGCCCAGCTCTCTGGGTGTTAATCCTGGCTCCACCCCTTGCTCCATGTGACCTTGGACAAGTCACTCTCCTACTGTGGACTAGAATAGCACCACCTCAGACTGTTGTTATGCATATGGAGATAATCCATGTAAAGAACTACAGGGCCTGCTTGACAAAAACAAGGATGCAAGTGTTCTCTGCTATTAACATTTTTAATATGCCCACTTATCCCAACATCATCATTTGTGAATGAAACTATAAGGTTCAACATCTTCCCACTCCCTCTGTTTATCCCCATATTGAACCCCCACCACCCCCCATGATTCAAATTCCCAAATGGTCTCATTTTAACTGGGGAAAAAAAAGGCAACCAGCATTGTTTATAACTTAAATTTTTCTGATCAATCCTATATCCTTAGAAGCAAATCATGACTGCGTATTTATTTTTGTAAAAGTGGACATAATACAGTGAAAGGCTCAACAAATGCCCCCTGCTAATAATTTATACTGCACCCCCTAGAAGGAGTTAAGGCCCCTGTGAGGCCTCAACTTTTAGATTTCAACATCTAAGAATGAACATTTTTTTAATTTAAATTCTGTGTGGCACATTGTGATCTTTAAACTTGGGGGGTTGTCCATTTCCATGATCTCCCAGCAGAATGTTTGCCATATTTGTTTCTGCTGAAAAGGTATTAAGTAGAGAATGAAAGGAAAAATGTTACTTAAATAAATGCACGGTCCCATCCTAACTGGCCCACATGTAAATGTTATAGAAAACTCAAGCGAAGATTGGAAGTAAAGCATTTCGATATCAAATTTATTTTCAAAGTAAGTCTTGATTAATGGCTCTGTGTACCCTTTTCTCTCTACTATTTGCTCTTTGAGGGCTTTAAATTCCAGTGGCAGGGATTAAGAGCGGTGTTTTGTTTTGTGGGCATTGAGATGCCAGAACACTTGGCTTGCTTTCTGGGATGGAGAGGAAATGAAAAAAGACCTTCAGAGAGAACGTTGCCAATGGAGAGCCCTGCAGAACTCCTTGCCAAAGAGGCTGGGCCCGGGCGCCACGTTTGACACACAGCTGCTATACTCTCTTTCCTTGGCTTCATTTGTACAGGATGGACCTTAACTTTCTGGGTTTCGGTAACAACCCCCCAGAACTTCAGCACTCTCATAGGTGGACATATGCAAAGTGTGCAGGGTGTGTTCCAGGCCTGTGGGTCCTCAGGAGCATGAAGAGACACTGGAGAAAGGAAAGTAAGTGGGAGAGAGAGGTCTAGTGGCCAGTCCTGAAGTGCTCTAGGCTGCCCAGGACATGAAAGGTGTCTACATCCTCAGAGCTGAGGTCATGGAGGTGAAGGCAAACTTGGGTTATCCGGTAGTTGCTCATTTTATGGATTAAGGATCTATTTACATGAAGTTAAGATAAACAGAAAATAATGTCTTCTTTTTAAGGGCTGTGTGTGTGTGTGTGTGTGTGTGTGTGAGAGAGAGAGAGAGAGAGAGAGAGAGAGAGAGAGAGAGAGAGAGAAAGTGAGAACTTGACTTTAAAAAAATGATTTCTTTGCAGCTCTTGAGAAAGTCTATCTTACAAAGAGGAAAGCCTGTGGTTGAAGGATCTTTGGAGAAGAAACCCCCATTTGAGAAACCTAGTATTGAACAGGTAAAAGGAAGAAGAGAAGCCCTCTTTTTATTACTTTAAGATTGAACAAACCTTCTATTTTCTTCCACATCTCTGTACACATCCTCTTTACCTGGCCTAGAGGTGTTCTCCAGGTCTGTTGATAGTGTCTTGGACTTTCTGGATCAGAAATGAATGCATAATTTAATAATCTAGCTTTTACCTTTTGTGTTGCTCTATCCTCAGAATTCACTGTTGTTTGGGGATTAAAAAAATGAAGAACATGTTCCTAAGAAAATACGCAAGATGCTTTTTCTTGGTGTTCAAGTTTTGAAATTAAGTCTTTGTCCTTTTGTTTGGCACTAAGAAAGCTTATTTTGGTGAGGGAATTCAGTAGCAATGTGAAAAGCCAAGCAAAAACAGCAAAAAACAAAAAGAGATTTTGTACCCAGAAATTGACTTCCTGCTACCTTATGATTCCTGGAAAGATGCTCATTTACTTGGGGAATCTGTTTGCAACAGGGAACCTCCCCCTTTCCTGGGGACCACCCTGTTGACATGTATAGAATTTTTCTGTTAGGTGTTGTCAGTATCTTTCTCTCATTCAGCTAAATAAATCTCAGATACTTTTGATTGAATTTCTTGATAAGAATGATTATAGATGATATGACATCAGAGTCCTTGCAAATACAAATCAATGTTTTTATCAGTCAGTTTTCAGAAGAAATTTTATTTCACACCCAAACTCTAGTAAGAATTCACTGTTCTTTTACTTGAAATTAAATTAGATGGGAGTGTCCTGTAGAAAGATTAAATTAATCCATTGCTTCTTTTAAAAGCTCATAATTTTAAATAATAATCTTTTGGGAGGGTAAGTTTGCTGAAATTGAATGAGTGGTAGAAAAGAGCTTAAAGTCTAGTGGATTGGTTCAATGAAAGACATGTTAGCAGCCTCTTTATTAAAATTTTGGTAATAATTTCCAAGAACATCATTCTGTGTCAGCTACTATGTTGATATTACAGCAAAATTATCCTGTGAAACAAATCAGATTTCATTGTTCAAAGGTTTTTGCCCTTTTCAGTCCAGGATTTTGGTTTTCCTCTTTGATGCCTCAGGATTGAAGTAGGCAGAGGGTTTTAACATGCAGCCTCTCTGTCTTGTCACTTTTCATCTACTCTGTTCTGAGTCAAGATTCCCTCTGGGTTGTCCTGATTTCCAATAAGGAAAAGGAAGAGACTTTTTGTGAATAGAGAAATGTCTGTTCTTTTGCTAATAACCATTGAACGTGCTGATGTGTAGGGGTTCAGAATTAGTCTGACTGCTTTGCTACATGAATAAATTGCCTCTCCTCCTTTTAAGGGTGTGAATAACTTTGTGCAGTACAAATTTAGTCACCTGCCATCCAAAGAAAGGCAAACAATAGTTGAGCTGGCAAAGATGTTCTTAAATCGCATCAACTACTGGCATCTGGAGGCACCATCTCAACGAAGGCTGCGATCTCCCAATGATGATATTTCTGGATATAAAGAGAACTACACCAGGTAATCAGATGATCAGTTCTTTTCTTTCATCCCCATAGAGCCAAGGGCAGACACAAAATTGCTACTTGTTTCTGCAAGCAGAGGGTTGCCCTCTTATCACGGTGGCAGTATCATTTCAGAGAGACGCTCTGTATAATTTAACTCCCTTAACTTCGACTTTTCATAATAGCACAGTGTTTTAGAGGAGGAGATATCCAAGTTTTTCGTTCATTCATTCATTCATTATTTATTTATTTTAAAGGATTTATTGATTTATTTATACAAGCACTGGGTACAGTCAGAAACACAGGAGGGTGAGAGAATTTACCAGAGCCAGAGTGGGGAACAGAACAGGCAGACTGACGAAATACAGTGCTAAGGGGAGCAGCAGGCGTGGCAGGAGAGGTCTGTCGCACCAAGTGGGACCCTCCCCAGTGGCCGGGGATCGAACCGGCGCTGGAGAGGCTGCGGGCAGCTTCGCAACCCAGCGCTCAACCACTGCGCCACCGGGGAGGCCCTGTTTACTTTTTTTTAAAAGATTTATTTTTATTTATTTATGCATACAAGAGCTGGAGTATAGGCCAGAGGTGTGTGTGTATATGGGGTGGGGGGATGTGGTGAGAGGATTCACCAGAGACAGAGCAGGGAACAGAACAGGCAGATTGACTGAAATACACTACAGAGGGGAGCAGTGGGCTAGTCAGGAGAGGTCTGCTGCACCACGTGGGTCACCTCCCTGGCTGGGGATTGAACTCGTGCTGCAGTGGCTGCAGATAGCTTCATAGTGCTGTGTCTTAACCGCTTGAGCCACCAGGGTGGGCCCCACTCTACTTTTTAATGTGACTAATGGGACAGTACATGTGGCCTGGGTTGTGTATCTATTGAACATTGCTGATAGAGATGACTATACTGTGACCCTGCAAGTGTTACATGAGAACCTCACTCATTTAAAAAGAATCAATTATGAATAAATAGTGTTAAAGAATTCTTTAAAGAGGGACAGATCACCAGCATCATGATGGAACTAATATCCTTATACATGTAGCCTTCCATTCTTTGACCCTTTAAACCAGTACTTAATATTAGCTGTAATGAAAAGAAATACCAAATTTTTGAGTCCTTCCCCCCATTTTACTGGCTACAGCTTGATAGTCCATCAAGCTGATAAGTAGCTTTTACCTAATCATTTCCCTATCAGTGGAGATTCAGATGCTGTACATATTCTCATTCTTAAATTGTATGTACATTTTTTCCTATTGTGGGAATTTGTTTTTATTGTATATCAACTATAGAATCATAAAATCTAACTCAAAAATTTTCATTGAAGTTAGAGATTATTTGGATTATCTATTCTGTGTACCTTTTTATAACTTTTCCCTATTTATATTTTATTGACATATCAAGCTTACTTCAGGGATATAATGGAGCTTATCTATACAAGCTTATATATATGTACACACACACATATACACACACGTCTATGTAGTGTCTTTTGTCAGCCTATAAAAGTACACTTGTACCCAGGTTGTTTTTTGTATCAGCAGATGATTTGTAGGAATGGTTATAGTTTAAGATAAGCTTTCCCCTCTGATCACTGACCTTATTTAATGTGTTATACCTTCTTATCCATTCTGCCCGCCTTTTGCAATATATACAATTTGAGTTATAAAATATTTTCTCCTAGTCACTGACTTTCATAATAATTTAATATTTCTTCAAAATCAGTTTTTAAATTGTATCTTTACTTCTACATATTCATTTAGAGTTGCACATTGTAATAGCTCCTAAATTATTGTACGTGTTGTTTATGATTGGAGTGGAGATAATAAACCTCTCTCTCTCTCTCTCTCTCTCTCTCTCTCTCTCTATATATATATATATATATATATATCTTTTAACCTTGTCTGTGAGCGATCAACCAAGCCAAGTATTTGTCAAAACCAAATCCCTGAAAGTATTTGCTGCCCTTAGCAGAGAATAATTGTTTCATCAAGAAGGAGAATTAAATGCAAAGCTGCATGGGAGATACTACTCTATTTTAGAAAGCAGAACGAAAATGCTGGGTTGCACTTGAGAATTGGGAGGTACTTATAAATACTTATAAATGCAAGAACTGGGAGGTACCTATAAATGCTTAAGGAGTAGTCAAAATAAAAACTGAGTTTTGGAATGAGCAATGGGCTTGAATCATGGTTCCATTGCTCCCCAACTCTGTGAGCTTTAGACCAATCACTTCGTCTCCTTGACCTTCAGTTTCTTTTTCTGTTCCAGTCTTGTGAGTGTCATGAGCGTCCCATGGGTGGCTATGCGTAGGGGCTGGCGTACAGCAGGTGCTGGGGAGAAGCCAGTCACTGTTTTCTTCCCACACACGCTATACTCTAAAACTCAGTCGCTGCCAACATGGGACTGTGAACTTAGTGCATTAAATGTACAATTGCATGAGAGTAATTATTTGGGTATCACTCTAGAAAAACTAAAGTAACAAGGAACAGAAAGGCAGCAGCAGAATCCTCCTAACCGTGTCCTGAGCTGACAGCTAAAGGCAGAAGAGTGGAGTCTGACAGTGGTGAAGAGAAACCCGCTGAGAGACTGAAATGAATATGCCCTGATGAGTTCTGAAACCTGCTGATTTCTAGGTGGAATGAAGCCCAAGAGCCTCTGTTAATAATAAATAAGGAAATGAAGGTAGAGAACAATCAACTCCCCCGCATCCTCACCATCTCACCATGTTGTTGAAGAAAGGGAAGTAGAGAGAACCTGTAAAAATGTTGAGAATCAATAATTGTTTCAGAGTAAAACCTCATTGTCATGACTACTTGGGGATTTAAAAAAACACCCACCACTACAACATCTGATACTGATCTTCTCAAAAGTGGGTAATATTACAGGCTGCAGGTACCACTAAGCTTTATCTTGATATGTAAGTGAGCCTCAGGACTTGTAATGCTGGTTCAGCATATAATTTACAGCAGTTGTTGCAAATAGAACAAAGGGACTGAAAACTTCTAGAACGCAACGTCAGCATGAAAATGAGGTGAAATAGGATTCTCTGTAGAAAACCCTGGACTCAGAAAATAATTATGTTCATGACAGAGGTAACTTGTACAGATTTGTCCAGTAAGAAATTAGATGCAGATTGAACAGGGCTGCTTAAATTACTTATTCTCCTCACTGAATAAGGAAAAATAAAAATATTTTATAGGTGGAAAATATCTCACATTAATGTTAGCATATACTTAATGGTTAATATTAGTCATTAATATAGGTAGATAGTAAATATCCATTATATATGTATATATATGTATCTTCCCAGAAGTCACTGTGGTTTGAAAAACAAATCTGAGAGCCTCCCTGGTGGCCCAAGGGGTTAAACACAGCACTATGAAACTATCCGCAGCATGAGTTCGATTCCAGGCCAGGGAGGTGATTCATATGGCGCAGCAGACCTCTCCTGTCTTGCCTGCTGCTCCCCTCAGCAGTGTATTTCAGTCAGTCTGCCTGTAATGCTTCCCACTCTGTCTCTGGTGAATACTCTCACTCCACCCCAGTTCTTGTATGCATAAAAAGATAAATCTTAAACAAAAAAAGAAAAACAAATCTGAGCAAATATTTCAGAATTCCCTGAATCCCATGAAGAAATAACCTGAAAATAATGTCAGAAGAATATGACTTCTTAAAATACATCTGACCAACTGAATATGCAAAATGGAAGAGGCAAATAATAAATTGTAGATTCTGAGTTGTGCAGAACTTCTGAAAGTTAAGGGTTACCCCTTTGTTAAGGAGATATTGTGTAACTATACAGGGCAAGTCAGAAATAACTAAGTTCATTTTGGGAAATAGTTTTATTTAACTATTGTTCCATGAAGCATGGCCCATCACCATGCTTACTGAGCACTCTTACTTAGGCGTTCAATCTAGGAAATATTTATCAGGAAGCGTGGAAAGAACTAGGGAGAATAGACTGCCTTCCAGCCCGGACTCTGATAGTAACTAGTCTTTGGTTTGGGTGAACTACGAAGGTCACCGAAACCTTAGGATTTCCAGTCCAGTAAGTAAATAGGATGACATGGTCTGTTGTGCTCAAGTATTCCAATTCTGTTCACATTTTAAAGAAAGCAAGGTGTTTGCAAATCATCATGATGCCATCAAAAATCTGAAATATTTGAATAATCATAAATTGCAAACACATGCTATCTCAGTTAGGCATATAAAAATGACTGAGTTTTATCCTTTTGTGTCTTTTAGCAGTCCTGACACCACTCATTCAGGAAAGACCTTTTCCTACAGCTAAATCTTTGGAGGATGTGTGTGTGCAGAAACATTTTCTTTTTCTGTCTCCTGCACTCAGTGATCCTATCATTTATTAAAACAAACAACACCCAACACACCTCATACCCAGTCAGTCTCCTAATCTACCAAACTCATTACAGATTCATAAAATAGATTAATCTTGGAAGTGAAATCTATGCTTCCCTCCTAAGGTGACCGAATGATCTGTTTATACCTTTGGACAACATTTTATGACTTTATAATAATACTTATTACCTGCTATCACTGTAGCAGAAATAACATCAGTCTGCAATAGTCTCAGACACCTGTGACCCTTCCATAGGCGGAGTGCTTTGGAGCCATCAGCACTGCCCAGCAGATAGATCATGTGAGCCACAAGTGTGAGTCACATATGTAACTTTGAAATTCCTTTTGCAAGTAGCTATTTTAAAAAGTAAACAGACCCTAGACATTACCTTTAATAATGTTTATATATAACAACATCCCTATATATAATGATGTATATAAAAACACCATGTATTCAGCATGAAGAATTAGTAATGATGAATCTTTACTTCCTTTTTATTGAAAAAAAATTATTTACTTATGTATACAAGAACTGGGGTGCAGGCTGCCAGAGGTGTAGGGAGGTGAGAGGATTCACCAGAGACAGAGTGGGGAAAACAGGCTGATTGACTGAAATACACTGCTGAGGGGAGCAGCAGGCAAGACAGGAGAGGTCTGCTGGGCCATATGGGTTAGCTCCCTGGCTGGGAATCAAACTCATGCTGCACTGGCTGTTGTAGTTTCATAGTGCTTAGACTTAACCCCTTGTGCCACCAGGGAGGCCCCTTTACTTTCTTTTTTAATACTAAGTCTTACTAATTCAGTGCCAGAGTGTATTTTCACGTCTGCACTTATTCATTCACTCACTAAATTTTAACTGATTAAAGCTTAAATGGAGTCCAACCAAAATAATAAAGTTAGGTGTAATGAAACAGTTTCATATGGTTTCCATTTAAAAGTGAATTTTATATTGGCTAAAGTTAAATAAAATTATAAATTAAGCTCCTCAGTTGTATTAAACACATTTCAAGTGCTCAGCAGTTATATGTAACTGGGTAGCTACTGTATCAGGTCTAATAATTCCCTTTATCCTAATCCTTTAAGTCTTCCATTGCAGAAGATTGCATATATTTTTACTCCCAACTTTTCCAAAAAATTTGTGATAGCCTATGTCTCTTAAAACTCGACTTCTGAGTACTAAGATTTGTGACCATTTAATTCTTAAATTTTTATTTTCATTATTAGCTTTTGGGGAACTGGCTTCCCTTCAGTGCCACATATTCTTTTACCTCCATGAAGTGGCCACAGACTAACCTCCAACAAGGACTGGCTTTGAAGATGATGAATTTCTGTATGAAACCTCCTATGAATTACAAAAGAAATGGACTTCCCAGCTTTTCCTGCTTTTGATATTACTGTTACCCACTTGACAGGATACACAAAAAACATTGAAGCTGCCCAAGTTTGTATTATAATCATAATATTGGGTGTAAAATTTACATTTGGGTATAACTCATTAAGACAGAAGGTGAGAGGACAGAGGCAGGAAACAGGGTTTTAATGTTAATTTTTATCAAGAACAGATGAACTAGGGCCTCCCCGGTGGCGCAGCGGTTGAGCGCTGGGTTGCAAAGCTGCCCGCAGCCTCTGCAGCGCCGGTTCGATCCCCGGCTGCTCCCCGGTCACTGGAGGAGGTTCCCGCATGGCGCGCAGACCTCTCCTGCCGCCCGCTGCTCCCCTCAGCAGTGTACCTCGGTCCTTCTGCCTGCTCTGCTCCCCGCTCTGGCTCTGGTGAATTCTCTCACCCTCCTGTGCTTCTGACTGTACCCAGTGCTTGTATAAATAAATAAATCAATCTTATAAAACAAAAACCAAAACATGAACTAACACTAATGAGAGTTTTCTTCCTCAAAGATGAAACACCACAGTGGGACCTCCCTGGTGGCGCAGGCTTAAGGTCTCAGTGCTATCAGGCTATTGCCAATCACTGAGGTTGATCCCTTACCAGGGAGCTAACCCACATGGCCAGCAGACCTCTCCTATCTCGCCCGCCCACCCCTCTACAGTGTGTTTCAGTCAGTCCGCCTGTTCTGCTCCCCACTCTGTCCTGGTGAATCCTCTCACCCACTGCACGTCTGGTCTACACCCCAATTCTTGTATGCATACATAAATAAAAATAAATCCTTAAAAAAAAAAAGATGAAACATCACTACTACTGCACACATGGGAAACAAGAAGTATATAGAATAAATTAAAAAAAAAGTCAGTAAGCATGAAGAAATTAATATTATCGCTCTCCTTATTGAGGGGATCACAATTCCTTGGGAACTTCCCACAGCAGTCTCTCCCACTGTGAAGGAGATTAGGAAAGCACACAGGGAGGAGGATTAATTTTAGCAAAGCAGCCCTCCCTGGAAGAGGATGATTGGGATCTGCCACCAAGAAATAAGCTTCCATGCAGTGAAGCTTCTGGCCCTTCCCTGGTTTGCTGCCACACTTAGTGGCCCCCTGTGACCTGCCATCTCTGGAACACCCAAAAAAGAAACAGGATGGATTTTGAATACACTTTGATTTTCTGGTTTCTCTTGGCTGAGTGAGCCCTGTAAAGTGTACGCCCTGTGTGACTGGTGTACCCCAGCACTGTGGTTAGATCTCAAGAAAACCTGTCCCTAGTGGCCCGCTGGGCCTGGGCGCTTCTCCAGTGCTGTACGATGCCAAAGCGCGTTTCTGACGTTGAGACTGAGTCACTGAGAAATGGACCTAAGCGACAGATGGTGGAAAGTTATTATTTCCTGCGTTTTGACTGAGTTTTGAACAGTCTCGAAGATCTTTATCTTCCCACCAAAGCTTCAGGGGTACAAATGCTGTGTAGGCATTTTCAAGACACCTTCCATTTCACACAGAGGACTAGATGGCAGAGTTCTGATTCTTTCTCTAAAGGGACTTCCTTTAATTTCTTCTTTAACTTAAACTGTCAGTTGTATACCAGAAACTTTCTGTGCAGTCTCTCCTTTAATGCTCTAACAACCCAGTGAAGCAGGTATTGTCCTCACTTTACAGGTCAGGAAATGAAGACTTAAGAACATAATTAAATTTGCCATGTCATACAGCCTGTAAAGTGACAAAACAAGGGTTGTATCCTGGGGCTGTCTGACAGCGGGACCCACTGCAGGGTGCGGCAGGATGGAGTGATTTAAGTGGAATTGGACCCAAGGGGTTGTGTGAAGCCAGCTAATCGAACCCCCAAGTTTCACGGGCTGGGCGTGATACCATTGCTTGTCTCTGCAGAAGGAGTTTCTTCTACTGAGCTTAATGGCCTGAGAGTCACCAGAATTTGGATATTTCAGATGCTCTGGGAGGAGGGGGCAAGCTCAAGGATACTGATGGTGCTTATCTCCTGTCGTCCCAGGTGGCTGTGTTACTGCAATGTGCCACAGTTCTGTGACAGTCTACCTCGGTATGAGACCACCCAGGTGTTCGGGAGGACACTGCTTCGCTCGGTCTTCACCGTGATGAGACGACAACTCCTGGAACAAGCAAGACAGGAAAAAGACAAGCTGCCGCTCGAGAAACGAACTCTAATCCTCACCCACTTCCCAAAGTAAGGAAGCGCTCTGGGGATTTTTGCTTGACCCCAGAAATTGAGATTGGTAAATACATGCGAAAGCCTGCCTAAGTAACGTGCCCGGGAGTGACAGGTGAAGCATCCCAGGGAGGGGGAAGGGAGCCTCTCCTTCTTCACACCCTCCGTGAGGCTGATTGGGGGTCTCCAGCCCACCTGTTCTTGGCTTGCCTATGTGTTGAGTGCAGCCGGCTCCCTCACCCCGCCTCTTCTCACCTGGGTCATTGTCTCAGAGTCTCGTAGAACAGAGGGATGTTTTGCTGTGTGAAGTAGCTGCCAGGGAGCGAGAGGAAGATAAGGGAGAATCTATAGACCCTAGTTGCCTGAGAAGTGGTGCAAGAGAACTCAGTGGCTGGTCTTTCCTTTTCCAGTTCGCCAACCCTTCCTAAGATGCGGACTCAATCCTGCCTCAGCCGTAGTAGGCCCTGCCCCCTCACTCTTTGTAAACTAGACCTCAAGAACAGGGTTAGACAGGCCAGAGATCCATCCCTCTCAGAAGATCTGTACTCTGTGCTCAGGTATTCCAACATGTAAATAATCATTTTTTTTTTTCAAGTGAAGGAAGCGTGTCAAAGGACTAACAAGTTGCAGTTTGACACTGTTTACTTGGAAATGCGTTTTCAGTGTTAAGAACTAGTGTGAAGAGTGAATATGAGCTAAGAGGCTGACTGCTGGGTGAGAGAAACCGAGGGTGCAGTTGGCAACTCATCATGGGGCAGTCACAAGAAGACAGGTCGCTTCGTGGTTGTCATTCTGTTGAGAATGGAACTTACTTGGGGTGTGTGTGTAGAAGTTATTGGAAAAGACTTTCTAGGTGTGATAGAGCATAACACCCCTGTCCCCCTGTACCTTTCTTACCCCCACCTCCCATATTCCCCACCTTTGAGAACTAAGTAGAGCATAGAGGGTATGTTAGAGTCTGTGACCAAAGATTGGCAAAGCCCTGTTTCATTTGAGAAACTAATTCTTGTCTTTTAGATTCCATTACTGGATGATCCAATTTGTTGTTCATGAAAAACAGTTTTAATTTTTAAAAGTAAATTTCAAAACAACACAGTTGGTTTTCTGAGTTGCAGTTTAATACAAATCCTCAGCTTCAGATAGAGGGCGTCACAGAGAATGCTGATGCGTTTTAGTGAATATATGTTTGTACATACATCCTAGCTTCCTGATTTTCAGTATTTTCTGAACTCCAATTTGGGTACTGCCCCTAAGTGGGTTCTGAACTCTGGGCATGCTTGTGTGTCACACGAGTCTCAGATCCTTTCCTTAGAGATTAGCTTTCTTATTTATTCTGTTTGCCACAGGCTCAGCATTTTATATTTTCAGATTACAGTTGTCATTCTGTCTCTCAGCCAAGGGACAAAGAGGACCCCCCCCACACACACACTTTTTATGGTGCTTGAAGAGAAATTTTAATTACTTTGCATAGTACTATCTTTTTTTCCATAGCAAATTCATTTTGCTTCTTTCATATATTTGCTAATTATAGTGTGTTTTGTTCCGTCAACCCATAGTTCTGGCATGCTTGTGCTGTTGAGCTAAAAAATCAGTGCTTCTTTCTTTTCTTCTCTATTACTAATGGTAGCATAAAACTACCACCCACTTCTCCTTTTCAAGGAAGCTGACAACATTGGAGGCTGCTGGGGATTTGTACCTACCTATTTGGCAGCAGAATCACACGCGCTGAAGCCTTAGGTGCTGCTTGAGCCTTGAAGCCTTAGATGCTGCTTGGGTGCTGTCTCAGTGCGAGGTTGCTGTGATTCTCAGATGCATTTTCAGAGTTTGCATCCTTGTCTTCCTACTGTTCAGATGTTGCCCTTTCTTCCATTGGTTTTAACTTGTGCCTTTCCATTCCATCCACCTGTTAATAAGGTTGTTTTAAAAAGCTTTAGTATCTATATGTCAAAGAGATAAATGCACATGTTGACGAAAATTTGGTTAAAAGAAAAAGAAGCCAAAGATCACCCATAACCCAGATAGTTCCATTTTCCCTCTATATACTATAATCTTTTTTTACATAGTTTTGTATTCTGTGTATTGTTGCATTGACAACACCGCACTGAGAAGTGGGAGTCATGGAGCAAGCTGTGGGATGCAGGGTGCTGCTCGAAGACCAAGATCCTGGCCTTTTTATTGATAGAAGAATTATCCAGCATCAGTTATAAGGGGAGGGAGGACAAAGAGAGAAAAGGAAAGGGTGAAACTAGCTAATGTGCTGTCATCTGTGGTCTCCGGCATCATAAGTCTGCCTCCCAGGCACTTCTCATCTGCTTGATGACTTGGTATTGAATTGAAATCAAGCCCTGGATCCCCCGGCCATGGTTTCAGTCTTATCAACAAGGTGTTCCACTGATCAGCTTCTGGGGTCCCTTGTTAGACATCAGTCAACAGCCCCCTGGACATTCCTGGTCTTACCTCATGATGTATAAGTCAGGAGTAAGTTTATGCATCAGTCAACAGTCCCCTGGGCATTCACAGTCATACCTCACGCATGATGCATACCCCTTCCAGGGTGGTCAAGCTGTCTGCTCTTCATTGATTTGAAAGGCACCTCGCAGGGTTGAGCTCCTATAACTGATTGCCTGGGCAGTTCTGACTTTGTATAGGAATGCAGAACCGTAGGTGACAAAAATGGTGGCCGAAAGGCTGCTTAGGAGTAGCAGACCCACTGTATATATAAAAAGAATGCTCTCATGTCAATATATGTGACTGTTCTTTATTATAATGAAAGAAATACACACACACACATATCCATATACTATATAATACCCATCCAGATAATAATTATTTTTCTAAATTTTTAAAAACATTCTTCACTGGTGAGGGCTTGTGAAGTGTTTGGATTGTATATTACAGTACCAGAAGTGTAGATTTGCATTCATATTTTAACTATATTTCTTCGATTTTTGTGTAGATAAGATTTATCTAAGATATTTACCAAAATTTAGTTCCCTGAGTCCACTTTCAAAGACTTTGATTCAATGAGCCCATGGGGCTTTGGACATTGATGTCTTACAAGGTCTCCAGGTGATGTCTATGGACTACCCAAACTCAGATCCATTTAGTTTATAATGTGAAACAGTGCAGGCAAATAGCAGGCACTCAATAAATATTCGCAGCTTTCATGATGGCGGTGACAGTGATCAAGACAGCTACGTGAGGGCTGAAATCTTGCTCTGAGATTCACTAACTAGCACTAATGTGTCCCCACCGATGTGCTGCTCGGTGGATGTGCACAGACTAGATTGTGTCAATTGATGCAGAGTAAAAAGAGGATAAATTTGTGGGAATGCATTTCTGTATTTGAACATACCAAGACTGCCCAACTCAGTCATCACCTGAGCTGTAATTCACCACTGCATTTCTGAGTTGCAGGTAAGATGCTGATGGTAGGTGATTGCCACAGCTGGTGAGGGCTTCTGTCCCTCTGATTGTGCATTATTTCTGATCTGACTTGCTTTTACTCTTGTGTCTAGGTTTCTGTCCATGCTAGAAGAGGAAGTTTATAGTCAAAACTCTCCCATCTGGGATCAGGATTTTCTCTCTGCCTCTTCCAGAACCAGCCAGCTAGGAATCCAAACAGGTAAATTTCTTTTTGCATAAGTCAGAGAACAACCAGGAAGTGTTAGCTCACTCTGCATATATTTGTGTTTCTTCATCAAGAAATTGAAGACTAGAGCCAGCAAAAAAAAGTAAACACTTGGCAAATCCTGCGTCTGCATCTCTGTTAATGAGGAGAGCACGTGCAAATCCAACAGTTCAAACAATAGCAACTCCTTCTACTGTTGGCTTTGCTTAGCTTGCACATTACAGTTTTATGGAAGGCATAAAATACCAGGCGGCTCAGCTATGTAGTCACACGCTAGATCTTTTTAAAGACACTCAGTTGCAACCAAAGACCAGATATAGCTAGAAATCATGTCTCGGTCTGGCTCTCAATCTCTGATGTCTGTTTTGTGCATCAAATGACTCTCAGGGATAATGATAGGCTGGTGGGTGGAAGAGAGCCACCTTGAGTCTCAGGATGTGAAATACTTCCTCGTGGGGGCAGAGCATCCTTGCCATTGCCTTGATGCCACTGGCATTTGTCAGGAGGGAAGATGTGCCTTCTGGGGCCACAGTGACCTTATAGAATTCTTTGACATTAGAAAGATTCAGAGAATTTGGGTAAGAAATGCCAAAGCAGTAGTTTTTTTCATATGGCTGTGGGGAAAGACCATGCAGGATTTTTTTTTTTTTTTTTTTTGGTGGGACCCTCGCTGGTGGCCGGGGATTGAACCAGTGTAACAGAGGCTGTGGGCAGCCTCGCAACCCAGTGCTCAACCACTGTGCCACCAGGGGAGGTCCCCATGCAGGATTTTGATGTTGGACTTTAAAAAAAAAAAAAGATTTTTTTTTTTAATTTTTTTTTTAAAGATTTATTTATTTATGCATATAAGAGCTGGGGTACAGGCCAGAGATGCGGAGGGTGAGAGGATTCACCAGAGACAGAGTGGGGAACAAAACAGGCAGATCTACTGAAATACCCTGCTGAGGGGAGCAGTAGGCGAGACAGGAGAGGTCTGCTGCGCCATGTGGGTTGCTCTCTGGCTGGCCAGGGATCTAACTCCTGCTGCAGAGGCTGCGGATTGCTTCATAGTGTGGTGCTTAACCCCTTGCACCACCAGGGAGGCCCTATTTTATTTATTTATATACACAAGAACTCGGGTGTGGGTCAGAGGTGCAGGGTGGGGAGTGTAAGAGGTTTCACCAGCCTCATGTGTACCACCTCCAGGAAAGATAACTTTATGCTTGCTTTTTTTTTTTTTCCCCAAAAAAGTGAAGTACCATTTACATACTGTAAAAGTTACCCTCTTTAGTACATGGTTCTGTGCTTTTTTTTCTTCTTTTTTTAGATTTACTTATTTTTGCATACAAGAGGTGTAGGCCAGAGGTGTGGGGGGAGGGGAGCGAGAGGATTCACCAGAGACAGAACGGAGAGCAGAACAGGGTGAATCAAATTCATGCCATGATGGCTGCAGATACCTCAGATAGTGCTGAGACTTACTCCTTTTGCCACCAGGGAGGCCTCCTGGTTTTGTGTTTTTTGACCAGCACATTGAGTAGTGCAACCACCACCACCATCAAATATACAGCAGTTGCATCACCCAGAAAATTCCCCTGTATCACTTTGTAGTCTGTTCATTGACCTACCCACAGCACTGGCAGCCACTGGCTTGTTTTGCGGGGCTATAGTTTTCCAGAATGTTATATGACTGTTGTATAGCTTTTTGTGTGTAGCTTCCATCACAATGCAGCATAATACATTTGAAAAGGTGATTAAAAAAATTTATCTAGAGGGGCCTCCCCGGTGGCACAGCGGTTGAGCGCTGGGTTGCGAAGCTGCCCGCAGCCTCTGCGGCGCCGGTTCGATCCCCGGCTGCTCCCCGGCCACCAGAGGAGGGTCCCACATGGCGCTCAGACCTCTCCTGCCGCCCGCTGCTCCCCTCAGCAGTGTACCTCGGTCCCTCTGCCTGCTCTGCTCCCCGCTCTGGCTCTGGTGAATTCTCTCACCCTCCCGCGCTTCTGACTGTACCCAGTGCATGTATAAACAAAAACAAACAAACAAATAAATAAATAAAACATGCCTCTATTAAAAAAAAAAAAATTTATCTAGAGCCTAAATTTGGATGAAAATAAAATTAACCCTCTATAAGGCAGAATCATTAAGGAATGAGGTTGTCTGCACGTTTTTAAGTTTAAATCATAGAATATAATTTCATGTTTCTCTGGCCTAAAACCTGCAGGCTTTGGGATCTGTCTGTGTCTATTGCATGTTCCGCCCGGACTTGAGCTGTCAGCACTCACTGGATTGTTTTCTGTGGTTACTGAGCACATTCTCTGTAGCCTTCTACATTCCTGACTTCCACTTGATCACTTAGTGTCTCTCCCACAAACTCCTAATTCATGCCCTGCCCTCCAGCATGGACTGGAGAGCCTTTTATTTGAACTTCCTGGAGCCTTCAGTATAGCCTATTCTTGCTCCTCAAACTTAGCTGCGCCAAGGCATCAGCCATAGAGGTTTAAAATATACTGATTTTCTGAGTCCCATCTCCAGAGAGTGCGATGTGATTGGCCTGGGGTGTGGCCTGGATAGGGAGCCCTAAGCGCCCCAGGTGATTCTGATGTGCAGCAATAGATGAGGATGACTGTGTCATGCAACTCTCATCCCGTGTTAGCCCAGCTCTGATTTTTTCATATTCTGTCTCCTATAATATTACTTCCGGATGTCAGAGATCCAGTTTGGTCACAGTAATAATAACTGATACTTCCGTTAAGTGCTTGCCTATGAAGTTTACCTTGTATCTTTAAGCCTTAGTGCAAACTCTGGGAAGGTGACTTTATTATCCCCTGTACATACATAGATGAGGAATAGACTCGCAGGGGGAGCAACAAGTTGCTCAACATCAGAACTTGTATGTATAGAACCAGGTTTTACACCCAGGTCTAATGCCTGATGTCTACACCATGTTTAGAGCCACAACATCGCCCTGCTTTGGGCATGCATGGCAAATGTGCAGGCAAGCACGTGTGGATGAGTGAAGATCTCTTTCCTCCTTCAGGCAGGGGGACTACGAAGCTGTTCAGCAAGGTCGCTTCTTTTCTGGAGGGTCTCCTGGAGAGGATTTCTCTGTGAGCACACTCCTTGACCCTCACCTTCTTAGAATGCGACCCAGTCTGCCCAGCTTCACACACATTGTGATCACAGCATGCAATCGAGAAGGAAGAGGTTGTCTCTGAGCCTCTGGGAATTTCATGTTTATTTCTGTGGCTATGATTGTCACCCAGTTCAGCTGGATTATTCTTCAGTATTACCTGAAGCTGTCAGAAGCAGGCTGGCTCCTCCTGTTCTGCTGTAATTGCAGTGTGCTCTCTGCAGGGCTGGAGACGGGGGAGAAGAGTATAATCATCTACTTAATTGGCATGTCCACACATCTGTGCAACTGTGATAAATGACATTCATAATGGTAACTGAAGTTTTGCAAGATACTCAGATGTCTTTGGAATTACTAGCTTCCTCTTTGTGTCACAGCAGTCCAGTGTACTTTGCAGTTCAGACCGGTATACTGGAAGGAAAACCATAAGGCCTGGTACTTTAGAATGTTCTGAGTCTTGGCAAACCAACTGCTATGCAGCCAGAAGTGCTAATGGTGGTATCTTTCTGTTGCTTGGTTTACTTATTCCATTTCTTTTTGGCTGCTGGGATTCCCCTGCCAACTGAACTGTGGCTGCGTTGAGCCTTCAATGAGCCCTCTCTCTGGGCCTCTCTGCACTGCCATCGTTTGTCTATATGTGACCTTATCTGTGTCCCTCATAACTTTCACCTCATCAGTTACAAAGCAACAGTGAGCAAAGCAATGTCCCATTTTCTACAATGACTGTAAAAACAAAACCAAACAAAAAAATGTTTTACTTAGCATTTAAATTTACAGAAATTTACAAGAATAGTTCATAGAAATGCTATATGCTGTATATCCTTTACCCAGATTTACTAATTGTTGACACCTGCCACAATTACTCTATACCCCCCGTATATGTATATGTGTATGTATATGTATATATATATATTCTCTAAACTATTTGAAAATTGCTAACATCTTTTACTGAATTGAGTGGCTGTCACCCAAGAACAAGGAAATTCTCTTACTTCACAACAACATAGTTGACAAAATAAGGAATTTTCACCTTTATACAGCATTATTGTTTACTCTATAGGCTATCTTCTTCTTTGCCTCTTATCTCACTTGTGTGGTTTATAGAAATTTTTGCATCATATCAGGTGATGCTGACCTCTTCCCATTATTGTAGATCAAGATCTGTATCAAGATCAGAACTTGTAAGTGATGAAATCAGTTTCACACCCAGGTCTGATTAATTCCTAGCATCTACACCACATTTACAGCCAGAGCTCAAACCGTGTGAGTTTGATCAACTGGGGAAAGTGGTGTTTATTAGGTTTCTCCCTGAGTGGTACCATTTTCCATCTTGTAATAAAAAAAAAAAAAAATCTTTTGCGGGGAGATAATATGAAACTCTCCTGTGTTTGTCAAAATTATATTCACAAAGTTTAACCTGCAGAGATGACTCTTCCCTGAATCAGTTACTATACACTGGTTACCACATGTTTGTTTTTCTTTTTCTTCTGACTTTATTGGTATTCTCCTATAAGGAGCTTTAACTTCTCACTTATTCACTCATTTATTATTTTTGTCATTATGGACTGATCTATCCTTATGCTATTTGATGGGTTAAATCCATTCCTGTCTATTATCTTGATGCTTGTGTTGGCTCCATGGCTTTTATTTTAAACAGGCCTTCTTTTTTTTTTTCTTTTTTTTTTTTTTTTTGTGGGACCCTCGCTGGCGGCGGGGGAACGAACCAGCGTTGTAGAGGCTGTGGGCAGCCTCGCAGCCCAGCGCTCAACCCCTGCGCCACCAGGGGAGGCCCCGAAACAGGCCTTCTTTTGTGGTGTTGGGCAAGAATGGGGTGGTCTCCAGGGCCGTTGGTTCCTTATTGCTAAGAAAGGAGTCATCTAACACCTTATTTTTCTTTTCTTTGGGCAGTTATCAGTCCACCTCCTGTGGCTGGGACGATTTCATACAATTCAAACTCATCTTCCACTGAGCAGCTGAATGGAGGGAGCACCAGCCCTTCCTGTAAAGCCTCTTCTGGGCTTGAGCCAAACCCAGGTAACCTTTTAAGGGGGCTTAATAGAGATTGTGACTTGCCTGGAAGCTCCCTCCTCTGAGGCGTGAGCAAGGTAGGCACAAGGGGTTAAGTCTTAGCACTATGAAGCTATCCGCAGCCTCTGCAGCATGAGTTTGATCCCCGGCCAGGGACCTGACCCACTTGGCACAGCAGACCTCTCCTGTTGTGTCCGCTGCTCCCCTCAGCAGTGTATTTCGGTCCATCTGCCTGTTCTGCTCCCCACTCTGTCTCTGGTGAATCCTTTCACTCCCTGCACCTCTGGCCTAACCTCGGCTCTTGTCTGCATAAATAAATAAAATAAATCTTAAAAATAAATAAAAATTGACTAAGTTTTAATTGTAAAAATAAATACATTTTGTCATGGAAAAAGATGCAGACTGCCATATTTAGTATAATGCGGAAAGTGGCAGAAAGTTCTTTTTGTCTTTTCTTGGCTTGTCCCAGCATGTGACATGTGGGGAAGACATCATTTCTATGCCAGTAGCCTTGATTTCTATTACTTTAAGGTGATAAAAGCATTGTGGAAGAGAAAAAGGGTCACTTTATAGTGAAAAATTAAATTTACCAGTAAAATAAAATAGTTCACTAGTGTATTTTTTTTCAAAGATTTATTTATTTGTTGATTGATTTATTGATTTATACATACATACATACAAGCACTGGGTACAGTCAGAAACGTGCGGGAGGGTGAGAGAACTCACCAGAGCCAGAGCGGGGAGCAGAGCAGGCAGAAGGACCGAAGTACACTGCTGAGGGGAGCAGCGGGCGGCAGGAGAGGTCTGCGCGCCATGCGGGACCCTCCTCCGGTGGCCAGGGAGCAGCCGGGGATTGAACTTGCGCTGCAGAGGCTGCGGGCAGCTTCGCAACCCAGCGCTCAACCGCTGCGCCACTAGGGGAGGCCCATAAGTTACTTTTTTTTGACATTTGGTTTCATATGGATCATGTTTTCTGACCACAGAAGGACTGAGTTAGCAGCTAAGAACTAACAATAACTTGATTTGCAAATGCAGAAGCATGTGCCTTCATGCATATTTCAAGTTAAAAAGTTATCAGCTACAGAAAATATTCAGCATGGGTCTGTGGTTGGTAGTTAATGTGACCTTTCCCCTTCTCTATTCTATCTTCTGCCACTCCTTTCCCAGGTAAATGGGGAGTCACCTTCCATACCCTCAGTGTTACTAGAAAACTAGGTGCAGTGGAGCTGAGGCCATATGGTTGAGATACTCACTCTTACTGGGTCTTACCCATGTAGATAGTGGGAATGTGATTATTAAACTTTCTTTTTCATCTTAAAAATATTAGTGGGATTATTTGACATGTGTCCTCTGCTTTGTGCTCAAAATCAACCATTGTGTGCCCGTGCCCTTTTACTTTATCACAGGAGAAAAGAGGAAAATGAATGACTCCCATGTTCTGGAGGAGGCCAAGAAACCCCGAGTGATGGGGGATATTCCAATGGAATTAATCAACGAGGTCATGTCTACCATCACAGACCCTGCAGCGATGCTTGGACCAGAGGTCAGCAGGGTAAAGCAGGACAGTCATCTGGTAGCTTCCAGCCCTCCCAGCCACTCCAGGTGGCAGACATGGAGATGTTATTGCTGAGAGTTAGCATATTATGCTACCCTGATTTGCGTTTAACCTGGTGTCAGGTTGGGGAGGGCAGGAATGGCTGCTGGAGAGGTGACGCCCCTGATGTATATCACATCACAGGGAAACGTGCTAATAATCTCCCACAGCTGAATGAAATACAGATGTCATAACATTTCATCTTTAACTATTTGTGCACGTGTCTCCTTAGAATGAAGCTATTCTTTTACATAACCACAGTGCAGATCTCACATTCAGAGATCTGTAAAAGGTTACAGTATTTTCTAACACAGAGGTTGGCAAACTACAGCCTACAAGTCAAATCCATCCCCACTGGCTGTAGACATTTATTGAGACATTGTTCATGGTTGCCTTTGTATTATAAGAGCAGATTTGAATAATGGAGTCGGGGATAAAAGGTCTACAAAGCCTAAAATATTTGTTATCTGGCCCTTTATAGAAAAGTTTGCTGACCTCTGGCCTAACATACATCCCACATTCAAATTCCACATGTATCCAAATGATGTCCTTTATAATGTTTATCACTGTTGAAGGATCTCTCAGAAATTGTGCATTGCACAATTTTCCTTTTATCTTTTCATCTCTTTCATCTCCTTTATCCACAACAGTTCCCCTCCTTTCTTTCTGTTTTTTGAGGTACTAGCATCCTTGAAAACTCCTGGTGGCTAGTTTTGCATAATGTCCCTCCATTTGGATTTATCTGATTATTTAATCCTGATTAAGTTCAAAGTCAGGCATTTTGGGTAAAAGCACTGCTGTCATCTCCCTTATATCACAGCCAAGGGCAGAGCAGTTTTAAGCATTTCTGTCAGAGTCCAAGAAATGGAAATTATTTCGCAAAACATCTTTTTAAATTTTTCTAGTGTGACTCTGCTAGCTTAAAGTATCATTTTAAAATTTGTCATGTTTTCTTCGACATAGTATGGTATGAAGGATAATTCAGAGAACTGGAATGTATAATAAAAACATCTCCATAGAAAATCGTCCTTTCTATTTCCTTCTAGATTGCCACCCTTGAGGATTTAAGACTGCAGTACCTTTTATGTACTACCCTTCAGAGATTTAGTCATGTCACAGATTAGCTGTGCTTAATTTTTTCTGCTGCAAGATGTGGATTCAGTCATACATTACAAAATTTGTTGAGTGGATAGAGTGGTGTGCTGGAGTTGGCTTGCAGAGGGCACTCATGGGAATTGTTCCATTTTCAGGGAGTTTGTGAGCTGGTTCTTAAGTGTACTGGTAGCTAAAAATTGACCACAGTGATAGCTTGTCACCTGTGCAGCCACCTCAGATGGTGAAACAAGCAAGTGCTACCCTTTATGTCTTTCTCCCCTGGAGGGCTGTGTGTTGAATATTCGTCCGTACATCTGTGGGTGGATTAATAAGACAGGAGTCTAAAGAACTTACACCAGCTTATGTTGCTAGTTAGGGTGGAGGGGATCACAGATACTCCTCTGGAAAAAGCTGACCTCCAAAAAAGAGGAACTAATGATGTTATTGTGCCTGTTGAAATGGTGATCAGAATTGGGGATCTATCATACCGAGGTTCCTCTAAAGCACAGCTGGATGAGAGTCTTTAAACCAGAGGCTGACAAATGACAAACTCCAGCCCACAAGTCAAAGACAGTCAGTCCCTTGTCTTTATAAATAAAACCTCATTGGAACCCCACTGCACCCATTCGTTTGCAAGTTGTCCTCTACTGGTTTTGCACCATTACAGAGTGAGGAGGTGCCACAGAGGCCTTGTGACTTGCAAAGTCTAAAATATTTGCTATCTCACCCTTTACAGCAAAGTTTGCTGACTCCTAATGTATGCCAGACATCATCCAATTACTGTATATTACTCTGGTCTCTCAAAATGCTTTGTTTGCCTTTCCTTTCTTGTGTTCATAATGTGTGTTTGTGACCCCGAAAACCACAAATGAGTCTTATTAGGATCAAGGAGAACATGTTGAAATGTCCTGTCCCCACTGTCTTAAGACAAGAGCTCTGTGAAACTTTTTCCTGTCTCCTGCATCCCAGACCAATTTTCTGTCAGCACATTCAGCCAGGGACGAGGCAGCAAGGCTGGAAGAGCGCAGGGGTGTGATTGAATTTCATGTGGTCGGCAATTCCCTGAACCAAAAACCCAACAAGAAGATCTTGATGTGGCTGGTGGGTCTGCAGAACGTGTTTTCCCATCAGCTGCCCCGCATGCCGAAAGAGTATATCACGCGGCTAGTCTTTGATCCGTAAGTGGCACTTGGTGCTTTCTTCTTTATTTCCTTTGCAAATGAAAGACAGAAACTACTTAGATAGTAAAAGTCAGCCAGAGTCACCCTCTGAATCCTGCTGCCTCTCATCACCATGCAGATACAGTAAGGTAATTGCCAGGGCTAACAATATTAAGATTAATCTCAGTAATTCATGTACTTTTGGAGTGAATAATAATACATAATATTTATATTGCTGCTGACTATCCTATGCTTCATTTATTATAGCAATGAAAGAATATAAACAGTCAAAAAGAAATACCCTTTTTTTTTTTCATTGTTAAACTGTTCTTGGGTTCGGTATCTTCATGAGGTACCTGTTGCCCAGGTCTGTAAGCACTGAAAGCATCGGTGGGCTATCAGGCAGGTTAACTTTGGAAATCTGTTGCCTTAAAAAAAAAAAAAACAGCCCACAAACAAAAAACTGAACTTCTCTAATTGAATATATTTAAATACATACAGTCCAATTCCACATTAAAGGATGATTTAGTGAGACAGTGACTAGATAAGCAAGGGTTACTTAGAAAGTCAAGTCTGGTTGATGAGGAACGCCCCATAAAGTTTATTTGTATGACCAAGATAGGTAAAACTTTGACATAATCTTATTCTTTCAGGAAACACAAAACCCTTGCTTTAATTAAAGATGGCCGTGTTATTGGTGGTATCTGTTTCCGTATGTTTCCAACCCAAGGATTCACAGAGATTGTTTTCTGTGCTGTAACCTCAAATGAGCAAGTCAAGGTAAGGGTACCTGAAGGTTTTAGAAGCAAAGCAGAATATGGGGCTTCTCATTAAAGCTACAGAGCTCAGGACAGTCTCTATGTGCCATGCCCAGAGAAGGTTTCAAGTGGAGTTCAGGACTTTCTGAGATGAGTCTTCTCACTGCGTGTGAGGACAGTAAATGGCTCTGCACCAACCAGATTCTGCCAAGGCTTTGTTGGATTTTGCAATGATGTATAAGGACATCACATAGCCCCAAGTGCATCTCAACCTATGGCAAGTGAAGGGGTGTGTAAAAATAAATTGCAGTGTTTATTTTTAATTTTCACATGCACTTACACACACACACACACACCCTTAGTGACACTGAATCACCAACAGGATATGGTGTCATGGATTTAGAGAGATTATTTAGGTGGCTTACAATCCAGAAAGGAATTCTGTAAGGAATTCTGTAAGGAAAGGTGGCTTATAATCCGGAAAGATTTCTTATGACCTGTCCTACAGAGGGATAAGGATCAAAGGGATTCTGTAAGGAAAGCATGATAATATTGAATAAATTCATGAATGAATTTCAAAAGTATTTGTGCAGATTTGGGAATGTGTTGTTTTGGGGTCTCTGTGTGTGTGGCTAAGTTACCTTCTTAGTTGTTTTTGGCATAGCGCCTTTCTTTCCCAGGAACTACAGATTATTTTTTGGTATTGCAGTAGTTTTCACAGTCTGCCTGATGTAAACTAGACTCAATTTGCAGAAAGAGCTTTGATCTAAATTATGTTTTCTATCTGTTACTCTTAGGAAAATGGAACCAGGAAATGTGTCCTCAGAGTATTATTTTGGGGAACCTTAAAGAGCATTGTGCAAAAAATAATGTGATTGGTAGAAAGCTAAGCTCACAGGATCAGATAACTGCTGATCCTGATAGTCTCAAGCGACATTATCTAATGAAATAAAATGCCAGGTACAAATGTCGGCTATATATGTAAATTTTCTAATAGCTACATTAAAACAAAAAGTAAATGGAAACAGGGAAAGTTATTTTTATGACTATTTTATTTTACTCATTATATCCAAAGTATTGCCATTGCAACAGGTATTCAGTTTCACAAAGAATTAGTGAGACATTGTCCATTCTTTGTTTTGTACGAAGCCTCTGAAATCAAGTGTGCATTTGTGCAGTTTGGACTGGCCATATATTTTTTTAAAGATTTGTTTTATTTATTTATGCATACAAGAACTGGGGTACAGGCTAGAGGCACAGTGGGTGAGAGGATTCACCAGAGACAAAGTGGGAAGAGAACAGGCAGATCTACTGAAATGCACTGCTGAGGGGAGCAGAGGTGAGTCAGGAGAGGTCTGCTGCACCGTGTGGGTAGCTCCCTGTCCGGGTATCAAACTCGTGCTGCAGGGGCTGCGGATAGCTTCATAGTGCTGAGACTTAACCCCTTGCACCACCAGAGAGGCCCCAGGCTGGCCACATTTCAAGTGCTTGCTGGGCACATATGGCCTAGCGGGCTCCTGTGTTTTGCGTGGTGCTGGTCTGATGGTGCTGTGGCCTCCTTCAGCTACAAAGAAGCCATGGCATTTACAAAAACCAGATATCACTCACTGGAAGGAATTTATTTTCTGTTTAAGGGCTACTTAAGGGCTAGTGCTTTAGTACCTCTGATGTCTTCATCGGCTTTACTGTGGCCCTAATGCCAATTATAGCTCCTGTGATTTACTCTCAGGAAGCACAAATGGGGCTTTTTGTTTTTGACTGACACTACTAAGCAGCAAAGGGCACACAAAATTCGACAGTGTTACCTTCACTACTTATGTTCACCTTTCTCACCAGGGAAGGTGAATGTATCTCTGCCTCTTTTTTCAAGGAATTCTGATAAGATGTCTTTAGATGGTGCTGTTGCCATGTTTATCAATTTTTTATTTCCCTCCTAGCCAACTATTCCAAATGTTCAGAGCATTTAGAACTTCTTTGAAGGAAAAGTTTGTTTGGTTTTTCATAGTGAGCGGATGTGCCTGTATAATTTTTGTTTTCAAAGGAAGTCATACCAATTTCTTTGTTAGGAAAGGTTGGTTAAGGTTGATTTGGCCACATTTAGGATACCAGAGGGAAACTAGAGGTATTTAAAGTGAATTGGATGCCTTGTTTTATTACTTTTCCAAAAGGGCAGTTTATTTTTTCCTCAAAACATGTAATTTTCTAAAGACTTGAAGGAAGGTGACCAAACCATTATGACCTCAGTAAAAAAATAGAAAACAAAACAACACTTCTTGTAAATGACTTGAAACAAACGTTTCAGAAAATCAAGATTAATCTTTCAAAAAGGAATAGAAAGCTCAAGTTGGATGGAAGCCAATGCTGGTGACACCTGTTTGTGAAACCAGCTAGTTCATAAGTAGAGGTTTGAAATTTTTTAAAAATATATTAAAAATCTTGGTTAAATGATACTTTTGAGATCTGTATTCATACCTTACAGACAGATTCCTGTGAGTGCTGGAAATAAGGTTTGAGCTTCATATTTGAGTTTTCTTTTATTTATTTATTTATTTATTTATTTTTATTATTATTCTTTATTTTTATATTCCCCATACAATTGCAACCCCCTGATTTTGACCCCAATTCCTCCTTTCCCCGCCCCCCCCAAAGTGTGTCTCTGGTTCATAGTTGTTTGTTGATTTTGATTTTTTTCTTTCTTATAGTTATTCTTTTTCCTGGTCCCTTTTTAGGTTTTCTAGATTCCTGCTATGAGTGAGACCATCCGGTATTTTTCTTTTACTTTCTGGCTTATTTCGCTGAGCATGATCCCTCTTATTTGAGTTTTTCTTGCTCAAAACACACACACACACACACACACACACAATAGCATTTGAGAATTTCCTGAAACTCCCCACCTGAATTTAGAATCTTGTCATCTAAGAACTATTTGGATTCGCTAATTTGTGCAACTTTAAAGTTATGTAGCTAATACTTATTTACCATAATAAATATTTAACAAACACTGAAATTACCAGATGAATTTGGAAAAGAATCCTTTTGGTGACAGTTAAAAGATAAAGGCTTACAAACAATTAAAATAGTTCTGGGGTAAACATCTAAATATTTGTGTCGAATTGCATCATGTTTTTTATGCTGCGGGAACCAAGTAAATGCTTTGGCTCGAACTGTTGCCATCATAGATGCAGAGAGGATTCTGGGGAATTTCTTTGGAGAGTTGAAAAATTAGTGGCCACTAATAAACAATATTTTATGCAGGTTTTGAGAAGCTGTTTACAAAAGAACCATTATTCTTCTTGAGTACAATCGCTGGATTGTGGGTAAAAGGGAGAAAATTTATAGTTCTGTTAACTTCTTACAGAGTGGTATTTACATGAAAGCCTCACTGTCTTCCATCAGCCACATCTTTATTAAAGTGAGCTGCATCAGAAGAACATTTCTTACTAGTTTCTAGACATTACTGTTCCCTTGCAGATACGATTCCCTCCAACTGGCCAACCCTTCACTTTTCTCCAGATTTTTCCACTTTTATTTAAATATAATTTTGTGTGTGTTTTTTTAAAATAAATTTATTTATTTATACAAGCACTGGATACAGTCAGAAGCGCGGGAGGGTGAAAAGATTCATCAGAGCCAGAGCGGGGAGCAGAGCAGGCAGAAGGACCGAAGTACACTGCTGAGGGGAGCAGCGGGCGGCAGGAGAGGTCTGCGCGCCATGTGGGACCCTCCTCCTGTGGCCGGGGAGCAGCCGGGGATCGAACCAGCACTGCAGAGACTGCGGGCAGCTTTGCAGCCCAGCGCTCAACCGCTGTGCTACAAGGGGAGGCCCTATTTAAATATAATTTTTAATGACATACATAAAGCAAAAATCTCATTTCTTCTTCCCCCTGCTGTCTCAGTATTGTCATTTTGGCGTCCAGAAAGATATTTCTTTACTCATTTACATACATGGAAATGCACTTCTACGTAAGAGATGACTGTGTGTTTTCTTGTTTTTTACATTAATAGAATTCATATTATACATATAAAAGCCTTTCTATTATATCTGTGGTTATTTAAATTTATATTTAGATCAATTAAAATTAAGGAAAATTGAAAGTGTAGTTCCTCAGTCATTCAGATAGTCAAGAGCCACACATGACTAATTGCTACCATATTGAAGAGCATAAAGAACATGTCTAAATTTCTACTAGTGCTAATATAGTGGTTTTATTCTTTTATATAGTATTTCATAATGTGGATACCTCATTTATGTTAATAATTTCCCTATTGAAGACATTTATGAAGACACTTGTTACCAGACTGCTCTTCTTAAAGACTTGACAAAATTTCATTCTTACCAGTGGTATTAGGGAGAACACATTCCTCCTGTCCTTATAGACTCTGGGTGCCATGAGCCTGAGAGGTAGTTAGTTGCTATTGAGTAAAACACTACATCTCCCGATGGAGTGATCTGATTACAGTTGAGATTCAGCATCATTTTTCTATTTTTTGCTAATATTTATTGCTTGTTCCTATCCATTGACACTTTTTCTTTTTTTGTATTGATCCTATAGAAGTTTCAATACTTACTTTATATTGTTTCTAGAGCAGATATTTATATATTCTTGGTGTTAAATCTTTGACATATATGTTAAAATTACACCCTCCCAACTTTTGTTTTTTGTTGATGGTATCTTAAATTGTTGATGATGGCTGAAGAAGTTTTAAAATTTGAAGTCATCTACATAGTGACCAGTCTTTTCCATCTTATATTTTCTTTCTTTTTTGTATGCTAGGTTATAACTTTTGTGTAGGTTTATTTTTGTTTACACTTAAATTTCCAATCCATCTTACCGTGTCTTCCACTTGACAAACTCATTTAAGGTCTAGCTTAAACATCTTTTTTTTTCTTTTTAAAAGATATATTTATTTATACAAGAACTGGGGTACAGGCCAGAGGCACTGGAGGGTGAGAGAATTCACCAGAGAAAAAGTAGGGAGCAGAACAGGCACATGAACTGAAAACACTGCTTAAGGGAGCAGCGGGCAAGACAGGAGAGGTCTGCCGTGCCATGTGGGTATATCCCTGGCTGGCTGGGAATTAAACCCTTGCTGCAGAGGCTGCAGACAGCTTCACAGCACTGTGCTCAACCCACTGCACCACAAGGGAGGCCTGATTTCATTTTTTTTAACCTAACCTAATAGTCCAAAATAGTATTACTTCAACATGTAATACCTATAAAATGTTATTAATAAGAATTTTTTTCCTGGTGTGTGTTTTGTGCTTCTTGTATATTTCTATCTGGACTAGTCACACTTCATTTGCCCAAAAGCCACTTATGATAGTGGCTACCATATTGAACATCACAATTCTGTATTATCTTTCTCATTTTACTTACTATCTGCACCTCAAGGAAAAAGATAACTAGTATGTCTTTTTATCCAAGTTTTAGTCAAATTTACCATGTGCCAATATTGAGATAAATTTGTGAAAAGCTAAAATGCCCCTGGTTACACTAGTGGAAGAAAAATTTCCAGTAGAGGGAGATGATGATACTATTTCTCTGTTTACTGAACACTGACCCCCAGATTATTCTTACACGTGATCCTGGGAACCGTGCTTTAGAAGGACATTGCTGTATGAATGAAAGCCCTGATTCAAGGAGTTTAGATGGATAAAGTGTTTTCCAATCTTGCCATGTGAGGAATAGCTAAAGGCTCATTGATGTTTAGCTTGGGATTTGGGAGGTAGAAGGTACACATGAGTGAGAGAGTATAATTTTTAAGGACTTGAAAGTTGTTGAAAGCATAAGTGAGTTTCTGTTACTGTGAGAGTAGAAATAAAGTTAGTAGGTAAAAGTAAGAAGGGGTCAGATCTCAGGTGACTATTAGGAAGAATATCTCAATTATGCAAATGCCTGGACATGAACTGGTTTATCTGAGGTTCAAGTGATCACGCTTACTGAGGGTGTTCTAGCAGTTTGCCTTTCCACATAGGATAGAGTTAGACCAAATGACTTCCGAAGATCCTTCTGCCTTTCAAAGATTTCACAAAATCATACCCATGGGCACATTTTAAGTTCTTTTTATAAATGTGTCACCAAATTCAAAAATATTTATGTGAAAATATTTTTGTCTAGATGCTTGGATTTACTTTTAACTCTTTTTATGAGGTTTCAAAATAATCACCCAAAATTTATACATTTCTCTAAGTTTTGTACTTGTAATTTTTTCCCCATATTTCAGTCATTAGTTTATTCAACATTGTTCATTATCTTTAGTTACTTCCTAATATCTTCTAGCTCACTCAGTTCTGGGCTTCCTTGTTTGGGAAGGTTTGATAAAACCACTTTGAGAATTGTATGCATGTGATGACATCATTCTTTAGGAGGAATTGCTTTTTATATACAGGAAGCACTTAGATTAGTTAATATTCTTGTAAAGAGCAGCATGTTTCCTTTACATAACTCTTTTCATCTCAGTTTCTTAAGTACTTAAATAAGCAGAAATTTAGTCAGTATTCACTCCAAAACTTCCTTAATAATATGTAGGATTGAACCTAGCAGCTTATAATCTTGTATGTTATTTTCAGAGAACCAAAAACTTGTATTTTTGAATGATGATCATATCTCAAGAATTTTGAATTGTTGAATTTTACACCTCATTTTCAGAATTGTTGAGTTTTATAGCCCAAGTTCAAAAATTCAAGAAAGGGTCATAGTATTGGTAAAACACATAAAAAATACACACTCTCATTTACCAACATTTTCCAGCTAATTTGTAGGAATTTTTGTCTAGAACCTAATGTATGTGTGTATATGCTAACTTCCACACAGGGCTATGGAACACACCTAATGAATCATTTGAAAGAATATCATATAAAACATGACATTCTGAACTTCCTCACATATGCAGATGAATATGCAATTGGATATTTCAAGAAACAGGTACGTTTGTCACTGCAACACAGTTCTGTCATTCCTTCTCTTAATATACATGTATGAAGCCTTCATCCAAATAGAAATTTTTTCCCGGCAGTTTCTACTTATAAGCAAGACATGGATATATTTTGTAAATCTTAAACCAATAGTAAGGGTCAGACTGGATTAGAGGGTATGACCAGCACATTGTAAGTAAGAAAGAAAATGTTGAGTAAATGACAGAAATCTATAAGTGCAATGTAATATAACATCCTGATATTCAAAAGTATGGTATCTCCAGGTTAAGGAGAACTTCCCAACACAGGGTGGTAGTGCACTCTGTGAATGGGAGACATAGGTACCCTTGATGACAGCAGAGGGTATATGCTGAAGTTACAAGAAGCTCCAGCCAGCCCTGGGGTACAGCAGCAAGGAGCTTCCCTGCTCTCTTGGTGGCTTTCTTTTTCTTGTTTCCTTTTTTTAAGGAATTATTCTTTTCTAAGATTCAAAAAAATTTTTTTTTAATTATTTTGCATGGAAGAACTGGGGACAGGCCAGTGGTGCGGGGGTGAGAGGATTCACCAGAGACAGAGTGGGGAGCAGAACAGGCAGACTGACTGAAATACACTCCTGAGGGGAGCAGTGGGTGAGTCAGCAGAGGTCTGCTGCACCATGTGGGTAGCTCCCTGGCCGGGGATCAAACTCAGGCTTTTCGGGTGTGCCATCGTGGTGGAAGTGCTGAGACTACCCCCTAAGCCACCAGGGAGGTCTTTTAGTGACTTTCTTAACAGAATTTTCAGTTTCACTTCTTGAGGATTAGTGTTTGGCTCCATCTTTTTTTAAAGTGGCGTCTTATAATTTCTAACCGCTTTTCATTTTACTTGTTTATCCTCAAAAGTAATGTATAGTTATCATAGAAATTTTGACAAATACAGTAAAACACCAAGAAAAATAGGATAATAGGCTTGTAATTCTACCACCCAGAGAAATTTGTTGCTATTTGAATGTATACCCTTCTAATATTTTTTCTTTGTGTGGTGAGTGCATTCAGAAATATAAAAATTGGCTCATACTGTATGTTCTGGACTTTTTCATGCCATAAATTTTGATTTTTTTCTGAATAATTTCTGATGGCTCTCTGAAATTTAAGATTGTTAGTTAATAGATAGTTGATGCACAATAGTCTTATGAATGAATTTATTTGCTTTGCAGGGTTTCTCCAAAGAAATTAAAATACCTAAAACCAAATATGTTGGCTACATAAAGGATTATGAAGGAGCTACTTTAATGGGATGTGAGCTAAATCCACGTATCCCATACACAGAATTTTCAATCATCATCAAGAAGCAGAAAGAGGTAAGCAGGTGACTGACTCGTGTTCGGTCTCTGCAGGCTGTTCTTAGTTGGGGTGAATTGCCTATCATCGGACTCTCTGTGTATCAGAATCTCAGTGTGCTATGACTTATCTAGATTTCTTCCTTGAAAAGGAAAAAAGGAAAAAAAGATTGTCTGCTCTGTAGGTTGCATTGGTAAACTGGCGTAAGTACAAAACTTACAAGACGTGGTGACATAACTTACCTTCATCATTAAGATCTTTTATATGTGGGCGTGAAATACTCTTTCCAAACTTAATCTTTTGTTTTCTTCCTTGAGCTATTCTCCATGGGCCACCACTGACACTCTAGCCCCTTTGCTTGTTGTCTTCATTTATTACTCACCTGCTCCTACCACACACACAAGTGCTCCTACCACTTCATCCTTGATCTTCTCAGCGCTAGTGTCATCCACCATTTGAATTTCAGTAATTCAGCTTACATAAACATTTATCTCAATGTTTATTAATTTCTTTCTTTGCATGACAGCTTCTGGGTAATAAGTGATTTGCTATCTGATATCGGGGTGAAGCTTTTCATGCCTATAAACTTAAGAGAAGCAGTAGCGGGAAAGGCTGACAGATGTGACTACACAGAAATGTTATGTTTCTGTAAGACCAAAAAAAAACTCAGAAACCAGACGTTTTTTCGATGAGTAGACTGTTGTGTGTTAAGGTCGGGACCACCCCTTACCATAATTCACTGGAGTTCCAAATTGGGGAGTTTGCAGCTGTGTCATCTTACATCGTACACTGTTCTTATTCAGTCTTCCAATCTTCTGGTTTTTCTCTACAAGTAACAAAAAAGACATCTGTCTTAAACCTATCTTAACTGTTTTCTGATTTCTGCTCCTGTCCCTTAATCCCAGTAATTAGTTATTTGTCAGACATCCCCGATATAACAGACATAAAGCTTCCTACACAGTGTCTAGTGAGTAGTAGGTGCTCTGTAAGTATTTTCCTTTTACTTAAAATGTTCAAATATGTTCTTATGTTTCCCATGGGAATGAGCAAAAGACTTCATTTCCCACCCCCACCCCCCAAAAAAAAACCCGAAAAAAAGACCTTTGTTGCTTCTTGGTCAAAGATGTCAACCTAAGAGAATTCCTAAAAGGGTACTTAGAGAGTTAATAAAAGCACAGCAGGCTGCCCTCTGTCTGTCTTTCTCTGAAGAGCTAGTGCTCTTCATTGTTCTCCTTGGGGCTTAATGAGCAGGTCTGAATTCAGCAGCTCATTGTTCAGCATCAGAGGCTGCTGGCCAGCTAAAGCCATCAGTGTGCTGTCAGCTGCCCTTTCCTCTTTCCTCCTCCCAGCACCCCCAGTTCTTCTATCTCCATGGGCTAAACCCAGAGCAACATTCACCGTGCAGGGACTGCAAACTCACGAAGTCCAGATTTGGTGGCTCTCTCTACCATGAGGGCCAAGAACGCCAGAGGCACCGATCTTCACAAATGCAGACAGTGTCCTCTCTCTCTTCTTCCTCCTTTCCTCTTGGGTCTCCTTTGCTTCCAGCTTTCTCTCACACACCACTGATGATGCTGACTTGGAGTTGTTAATATAGTTTTTGTTTTCAAAGATTTATTTATTCATACAAGAACTGGGGTACAGGCCAGAGGTGTGTGGGGGGTGAGAGGATTCACCAGAGACAGAGTGGGGAACAGAACAGGCAGATTGACCAAAATACACTGCTGAGGGGAGCAGCGGGTTAGCCAGGAGAGGTCTGCTGCACCATGTGGGTTGCTCCCTGGCCAGCCGGGAATCGAACTAGTGCTGCAGAGGCTGTGGATAGCGTCATAGGTTGCTTCTTAACCCCTTGCGCCACCAGGGAGGCCCTGTTAATATAGTTCTTTTAAAAGGGATCTGAAGTTAGCAAAACACAATATTTGTATTCTCATAGTATCTTCTTCCACAGAACTCAAATGATTTTTACAATAAAGTGTTGTTATTGCAATTTTGGAAGATAGGAACTAATGGTTATAGTAAGTAAGCAATGAGTATATGGATGACTTTTCTAGCTCTAAAAGTAGACAAGAACAGAATAAGTTGCAGTTGTCATGGTGGAGATGGAGAGAGAAACCTCTTGTGAGCAGAGAATGGAGACTTAAGTACTAGTTGGGGTGTGCTGACTCTTAAGAGAAATAGGCCAAGGTCATCTGAGATTGTTTCCTGGGAGGTGTGTTGGGATAATGGCATCAGCATGAGCAAAGATGAAATTTCCAACCTAAGCTGATTCATATGCACATGAACATCTGGGGCCAGAGATGTCTGAGTGAAGAAAGCCACTATTTGGGAAAGTGTGAATGGGCACCAAGCAGGCAGAGTTGGGTGAATCTTTGTGTGTGCACATGTGTATTTGCATGTGTGTGGGCTGGAAGGGAGGGGCAATTCTTAAATCTTAATTCACAGGTGAGACTGCCAGGGACTGGGCTTAGGGGAACCAAAGAAAGGGTGAGACAGAGCAATGCCTTTTTCTTGTGAGAAGACACAGTGAGATTTGGTGACATTTTATGGATGGGAGAGTCCCTCCACCTCCCAATTTTGCTTGAGAAGACTAAAATGAACAGCAAGGGGATGAGAGATGGACTTGAGGAGAAGGAAGATAATGACATGGTGGGGAAATGAAGACATTTCCTAGGAAGGTGAAGATAAGAGATGGGAACAAAAGTGAAGTGTTTCCTTTCCCAGGAGCCACTAGCTTCAAGGTGCTGCATGAGGGCTGTGGAGGCCCCATAGTAGGTTGTCAGAGTTGGGGGGGAGTATTCTTGGCAAAGAGAACAGACTTTTAAAATTATATTTGATGTTATACGCTCTGTAGTTATTACCATTGAGATGCTTTGTAAGAATGACTTAGACTTATGTATAAGTGAAAGGAAACCTTCCATCTACATCTGTCCTGTCCAGTGTGGCAGCCACCAGCCACCTGTGGCTACAGAGCACTTGATGTGTGGGTCTTTGAAATGGAGATATACTGAAAGTATAAAATATACTCTGATTTTGAAGACCTTGTTCAAAGAAAAGGATGCAGAACACCTCAATTTTTCCTATTGATTGTATGTTAAAAATTATATTTTGACTAGATTAGATTAAATAAAAACATATCATTATAATCAATTTCACCTGCTGCTGCTTATTAAAAAACATGTGGCCACTGGAAAATTTAAAATTACCCAAGTGATTTGCATTTAGATATTTATTGGATAGCACTGTATTAGATTTACCAGTAATATACATTCATTCATTTTATGAAGGTTTGTCTTTAATTATTAGGATTATGTATTCATGCTGCAGTATTTACAAGCAATATGTTTGAGATCAAGCAGTTAGGAACTAGAATTTTTTGGTCTTCTTTATAAATCTGATTCATAACTGACTGCTACTGTTTTGTTTTTGCTCTTCCAAGATTCAGTTATGGTCAATTTCAGGTTTTGATTTTCCTCTTCTTTTTTTAAAGGAAAACTGTATTGTTTTAGAAATAGTTATTCACTTTAGTATACTGGGAATTACTTACAGAACAAACACCTCTCAGGATTCCCTCATGTTTTGGTCCTATTGCCTTCATGGACTACTCTTTAGACCTGGTCTTTTGTTTGTTTGTTTTTAAATGCAGACAGCATATAGTGGGGCTGAAGTCTTGAAACATTTATAGAACAGCGTGGTCATCCGTGCAGGCTTTGGGGACTTTCTGAGGCTTATCTGACCCTTCAGTCCTGACATCACATCCCCTGGTCATGGAGCATGAAGAGGTTCTGGTGCTTTATGGGGTGGCTGTGTGCGGGGCTGCTTGACGGCGGTCTGACTGCGGCTCCTTAGAAAAAGCAGGGCAAAATCATTGGCTCTTATGCTAGAGGACAGTGGGCCCTCCGGGCAGCGAGTTCTCTCAGTACTGGCTTTTAAACTGCATGGCAGGGTCGAGTTTTCCAAGAGGGTTGTGCAGACGACATGAAAGGGCACAGGGTAATAAAAGGTTTCAGTGTTTAACAGTACATCCACCCTTTTTGTTTCCAAGACCTTCTTTTGCTGGGAAGATCATTCCTTAGGTTGGCTTACTTAAAAGCGGTAGCCTTCTGTTACTGAATACATTTCTTCCCTATGCTTTACAGATCATTAAAAAGCTGATAGAAAGAAAACAAGCCCAGATTCGCAAAGTCTACCCCGGACTTTCATGTTTTAAAGATGGAGTTCGACAGATCCCAATAGAAAGCATTCCTGGAATTAGTATGTATAAATCTTTCTTTTAACACTAAAATACTCTTGATACTCTTTTTTGAAACAATTGCCAGATTGAAGTAATTTGGAAAGCTTTTTGCCTTCCCTGTGGCCATTTGTGTTACTTTTTGTCTTTTAAGAAAGAAGCAAATGCTTTGCTTTTACAGCTTTCTCTTCTTCTCAATGCCAACAAACCCAAGAAAGCTTAGGTGGCCCCTTGTTATATAGCTATTAACATCCAGTATTTATTGAGAGCTTGCTCTTTGTAGCACAGGCCTGTGTATTATTCATATGATACCTTGAAGGTAGAGGAACTCTATTTTTACAATAAGGAAATTGAATCTCCGTATGATTAAGTCTTTTAAGCTTAAAGGGCATGTGGCCAATAGCTGTCAGAATTAGCAGAAGTCTGGTTCTAATCTCTTGATTCCCAGGTTGCATCCTGCATAGATCTGTGGTTGGCTAAATTAGTTTCCCCAAACTGTGAAAAATGATGATAAAAAAAATCGTATATCATTTGTCTCAAATCCCCTATTTGACAGCAGTCTTTCCAAGGGGTCTTTTCTGCAGGGATGCCAGAGGTGAGTTGTATCGGGTTATAACACACAAAATAGTTTTTATAAATCAAAAGCCATCCAATAGTGGCACCTTCATTTGGTATAAATCCAGGATCTTTTAGTAAAGAAAACAAAAACAAACTAAAATTCTTTAGAACTAAGACATGAATTGGGCATGCTTCTTCATTACAAAATCTGCCTTACAGTAGATCTTGCTTTCAACTGCCAGACCCAGACATTTTACTTCCCTATTTTATTACTATTCATAGCAAAAGAACTGCCACATTGGTGAATGCTTATTTGTGCCAGGCATTCCTCTGAGTTTTATAATTCAACTAATCTCAAAAGGGATAGCATCACCTACCTTTAAGAATTTTGTTTTACAGATTGTTAAACAGAGAAGCAAAAGGTTAAATAATTTATCTAGCTTTAGGGAGAGAGCAAGAAATCAAATCCAGGTCTGCTAGACTATTTTCGTTCTGCAGCAATAACCATTTGCAGGACAAGCAGGGTCGCCAAATAAAATAGAGACTGGGATAAAGTTTTTCCAACCTAAAATAACAGCTTAACTCTTTCACATGGTGATTAGCAAAAAAACGTGACTTAGACTTTGGAAAATACACAAGCCTGCAGTACCAGACATGTTAATTTTTTATGTATTCCTCTCAAAGGTGCAAGTTCTGCTTTAAACACTAACGTATATGGCAGTGTTGTCAGTCTTGAAACGTTTCCTATTTTTAGTTGTCTAAGGAAGTAACTAACCACAATTCACTTTAGTCTCTTCCCTGAAATAGACTTTTTTGAGGCATGTCTATAATTTACTGCATTTTTTGATAAGTATTAACTGTATCATTCTCTCAACCAAAAGCAGTTCTCATTCACTGTTTAATTTTGTTGATGTATAGGAGAGACAGGCTGGAAACCGAGTGGAAAAGACAAAAAGTAAGTATGATGGGTAAGAAATTAATAGTGGAAGTGATGTTTCCCCACTCCCAGTAACTCTGAGTAAAAGAGCAGAATGATTGTAATCGCACATCCAACTTGTTGGGTTTCAGTTTTCATAAACACTTCTGGAGTAGTTCCAATTTTAGGTTTCTGTGAAAATGAACTGAATAGGACTCAGCTGACAAGTGGATCAAAAACCTAATCATTATTCCTTGTCATTTACTTTTTCCCTTTCAAGCAAAGAACCCAAAGACCCTGACCAGCTTTACAGCACACTTAAGAGCATCCTCCAGCAGGTGAAGGTGAGTGTTCTTTTTTCATCCATCTCATCTAAGTATTTTGAAATGATTTCCCACATGGAAATTCCATATTAGATACCTTACTTTTTTCTTTACCCAAGAGCCATCAAAGCGCTTGGCCCTTCATGGAACCAGTGAAGAGAACAGAAGCTCCGGGATATTATGAAGTTATAAGGTTCCCCATGGGTAATGCCATTAAAATTTTCTAAACATAGATTTATAACTCTATGGATGGTGGTGTGGGGATAAATGGTTGCTGAGTTTGATTTGCACTCCTCTGCTATATACCAGGATGTGTGTGATGGGGTGGCCGTTCCATGTACCCGTGGAGGGCCAGTGATGTCCACACTGAATGATAAAGGGGAAGGGGTGTCTGAGTTAGTGACATTCTGTAGCTATTAGAGCCCACACAGCCATAGCACCAGGTTCAGACAGCCCAGGTAGGGAGCTGCAGACAGCATTTGGTAAGAAACTTGGCTGTTTAGGGCTTCCCCTGGTGGCGCAGCGGTTGAGCGCTGGGCTGCGAGGCTGCCCACAGCCTCTGCAGCACTGGTTCGTTCCCCGGCCACCGGGCGAGGGTCCCACAAAAAAAAGAAAAAAGAAACTTGGCTGTTTAGACATAACTTCGCTTATATTGTTCCTGTTTGGTTGCAAATGGAAAAACACAGCTTGGCCTTTCGGTACATTCTGCGTTGAAGGGTTTTTGAAGGTTATCCAAAAGAAGTTAGGTTAAGTTGCTTGACTGCTGTACTTTCAGAGGGAGAATTGTAGTTAAGTGTTATTTTGGTTTTGCATGCTTTAGATGGCTACTGTTGAGGTCACCGTTTATACCCCTATTTTAGACTTTGTTTCAAATCCAAACCAAACAAATGTGGAAATGTAGAATCGTGGAATTTGCTGCTGTGCCTACACCATGCTAAAATGAATGATTCATTGACTCATTTGAGAACGTCCTAAATTAAACTAATTTTGCATTATGCAGATGGTAAACAACTACTTGAACTATTTTCAAACAGTAGCATGGCCATTTTTTGGGGAGACAGCCTGTGTCTCCTGTCCCATTTCTACCTGTAATTCCCTTGATGCTAAGAACCAGGGAAATGTTAAAATGTGAAAGGAAGAAAAGAAAGTGATCCTTTAGCTCCCTAATAACTAAGAGTTATATGCAGATATTTTCTGGCATTAATTTTCATGTGAATATTTATATTACCATAGCGATGTTTGAGTAGTCTGTATTCTTTTTTTTTTCTTTCCCAGATTTTTATTTATTTATTTATTCATACAAGAACTGGGGTATAGGCAAGAGGTGCAGGGGGTTAGAGGATTCACCAGAGACAGTGTGGGGAGCAGAACAGGCAGAATGACTGAAATACACTGCCGAGGGGAGCAGCTGGCGAGACGGGAGAGGTCTGCTGAGCCATGAGGGTCAGCTCCCTGACTGGGGCTTGACCTCATGCCACAGTGGCTGGTGATAGCTTGATAGTGTATTCTTTAAAGTGAATGTGATCTCATTCCCCTCTTCTCACTGTCTTGCTACTACATATTTTAGTACATGACAACCAAAGTGATAGTTAACCGAGTCTGGAATTCTGAATGGCAGGATGATATAGGAATCATTATTTCCATGATGTGAAGAATATGGAATCTGTAGAGACCCTCTGTGTCCATTTCAAACTTAAGCTAACTGACCCTGTGGCCACATCTCTTGGGCCATCTCAGTTCCTTTTTTGAAACGCTCTTGGGAGGTTATATGACTTTGAGAAGAGTAATTCCCTTTTAGCGCCTTCCTCATGTACTTTGAAGGCCTCCAATGGCAGAACTTGCAGTTTCTGTTTGTAATTACTCAGTCTGCTTTCTGCAAGTTTCTTGGTCCAGGCTGAGAAGGGTGTGAATCTTCCCAGCTGCCTACAACTTGTACACATAGCTGAGAGGAAAATTAACCCCACTGAGCTGCTGAGGGGAGCAGCTGGCGAGACAGGAGAGGTCTGCTGAGCCATGGGGGTTAGCTCCCTGGCTGTGGCTCGAACTGAGCTCGAACTGGGTAGTGGTGGGCTGAGGTATATGATGGACGGTTAATTAAAATGCTAAATGGAGGGCCTCCCCTGGTGGCGCAGCGGTTGAGCACTGGGCTGTGAAGCTGCCCGCAGCCTCTGCAGCGCCGGTTCTATCCCTGGCCGCAGGCAAGGGTCCCACATGGCGCGCAGACCTCTCCTGCCGCCCGCTGCTCCCCTCAGCAGTGTACTTAGGTCCTTCTGCCTGCTCTGCTCCCCACTCTGGCTGTGGTGAATTCTCTCACCCTCCCGCGCTTCTGACTGTACCCAGTGCTTGTATAAATAAATAAATAAATCTTTAAAAAAAAATAAATAAAATGCTAAATGGAGCTGGTTAGTGGAGCAATTCTGTTATTTTGGGGACGGGGGCCTATCTTTAGATTTTGGACAAAATGTGTAGCCTTCCCCCTTTGTTGGTCATGTTTTTGAGAACAAGACTGACAGATAAATAATGTTACTTTCCAATTTTATTCCCTTCTTGGCTTTTTCTAGAAATATTTTTCATTTTTCGTCATGTCCAAAAAAACCCTCTCTCCCATATGAATGAGTTGTTTCATAAGGGATTGTGTACAGAACATGGTCTGGTTATCACGTGTGGGTTGCCAGGCATGGCTTTTCTATTTGCCCAGAATCCCCAAGTTGGAGGTAGTGGTGGGGGTGAAATAGAATAATGGTGTTTCCGTATTTGGTATCACTGATGTTTAATGCCCTTCTTTTTTAATTAAACTATGCTATTTGGTCATCTGAAAGAATCCAAGAAAATTCTTCCTACAAGCTTAGAGGAAGAAAGATGCCATCTATAACTTTAGAACAGAAAGGAAATATAGAAAGGAATTCCTGGTGATTATCCAGAAATGTCCAAACATTTTAAGATTCTTTGCTTTGTTTCTGCTCTATTTTTGCCTCTCCCTATCTCCTCGTATCACTTCCTTTTCCAAAGAGTTTGTGGAACTTTTAGATAAACTTCTTTGTGTCAAGTTTTACCCCTTACTCCCCCTTTAGTTTTTTTATTTTGGTTACACATATCTTCCTTTTGACTCTTAGTACAGACTATATTGGACTGAGCAGCATCTCTTAAGTGGTAGGTGTTTAAATGGAGAAACATAAACCTTTACTTTTACCCTATAAAGTACAATTTCATTGTTTTGTTCCTTAAATGAGAGGAGTCTTGATCTGTTTAGTCACACTAGGGTGAGACATTTGCTGAACCTTTTTGGATCTTAACACTTCATTTTTCTCCTTCCAAATACCTTCTTTCAGTTAGAGAAGAAAGAAAAATTGAAAGGTGAACTCACAGATGTGATGAGACACATCTGAGACAGGCCTATTCAGAGGAAATGGGCAGAAAAACATATTTTTTTCCTTGCTGTTTTGTGGTGGGTTAGGATTTAGATGCAAATGATTTTCTTCCCATTTTGGGATGTTGCCCATAGATGTATTTTGTCTTATTAAATGACAATTCCAGTGTATTTGGTTATAAGTTTCTTTCCTTCTGGAAAATTTGATAGCAGTACAAATTGGGGGTTATTGGCAGTCAGAAGTGCTTCTTTAGTCATATTGACTTATTTTTCCATGCATCGTTAATATAAGATATAATGATAAACAGATTTAGTGACAACCGGGAGCCTACTAGTGTTTTCTAATCTGCGTGAAATTCTTTAGGTCATTTTTGAGAGTGAGGATTAAAGAAGTCCTGTTATATTCTTACACCTTTCAATGAAGGACTGTGTTCATGTAATATAATACAGTTTAAAGCAAGTAGATATATTAGGAAAATGTTCCTTTCTACAATATCTTATGAGGCCTGCTTGCTTTCGAAAATAGATTAAAGTTTTCATTCTTGCTCGCTGGAACATGACACAGATTCATTTGAATGATTGTACATGCAAGTTCACACTGGAGTACCTGTAGATGTATTTATGATCAGTTTTTCTACTTTTAGTTCTGTCTCTACAACACCACAACAACCGTGAATTTAGTGGAACAACTCCGTCTGATTGTTTTGATTTAAGTAACAAAACGATTCAATACAAAGGTTCCACCTGTTCCACTCCATGTAGACAGAGCCTCTTCTGTATAATTCTGAATGAATAGCTAACAGTGGTTAGTTCATCATACTTAACGCTGCTAATCTTCTTAGCTTCCTTGTCCTGAATAGGGGATTGGGCCAGATAACTAACACTGAAGTTTTCTTCAATGTTAAAATGCTATGGTTTTATACAAGGAACCCTCACAAAAGAATGTCAGATTTAAGCATTGCTTTCCTCTATCATATGACTGTCTCTTAAAACTAAGGCACTGGGATGGTAAAAATGGAATCAAACTGATCACAGATTTCTTTACCCATCTCTTTTGGCAGCTACTGTTGAAAGAGTCAGAGAATACTAATTTTTTTTTTTCCTGTGCAGATCTGAAAACCATGAGTGAACGCCTCAAGAATAGGTACTACGTGTCTAAGAAATTATTCATGGCAGACTTACAACGAGTCTTTACAAATTGCAAAGAGTACAATCCCCTGAGAGTGAATACTACAAATGTGCCAATATCCTGGAGAAATTCTTCTTCAGTAAAATTAAGGAAGCTGGATTAATTGACAAGTGATTCTTTTTCCTCTGCTTCTTAGAAAGTCTTCAAGCAGTGTGCCTAAAGCCAGGTGGTTTAGTTTTACAAAGAATTGGACATAATGTATTGAAGATACTTGTAAATGTAATAATTAGCACTTTTGAAAAACAAACAAAAAAACCTCCTTAGCTTTTCAGATACATATTTAAATTGAAGTCTAGAACATTTTTATTGTATGGAATAGATTTTAATCTATTTACCACTATTAATGTAAATTTTCTATGGCATGTCCATTAGCTGAATATTCAATAATAGATGATCAGGGGTTTCCTCAAAACCTGTGTATGAGGAGATCACACATAGTACCAAGATTTGGGGGAATCCAGAAAATTTTCAGACAGTGAATGTGTCCATTTTTTTCTAATGGAATGTGAGAGTTTATTTTTATTTTATTCTGAAGACTTTAAGGAATGGATACATGATAAAAAGTTCATAAAAGCTGAAATATGTGATGCTGGAAGTCTCATTGTAGACTTTATATATATATATTTTTAAAAACACTCATCTAGATGAGGTGCTTTGAGCAGTTCTGAAAAATGCAGTTCTAGTAACTGCTTTGATTCCTAAGGAAGAAATTCTAAATAATGCAAACTTTTATATTGAGCATCTGGTTTTTTGATAATTCTGTCTACCTACAACAAACTTGTGAGTGTATAACCACTATTTTGGTAATGATTTTCTCTACACCAATGTGTCATACTTGACCTTGCTTATGCAGGCCATAAGTTCCAAAAGGTATTTCCCCGGGGCTACAGTCATAAATCTGAAAACACCTGAGATTTAATGCTTTAAGAGGAAAAGCTGTATTATCTGTTTATGTACCAAATTTTGTGAGCCCTTATTCCAATAAAGATACTTGTTTTCCTTTTCTATGCTATGCTCAACCCCACTACTGATGTGTTTATGAACATGTTTCTCTTTGCATCCCCGGGTTCTATTCATTCTGAGAGCAATAAAATCGCCACCCTGGCTTGCTGTCAGTATTTTAACACCTACATTGTTATATAGGTCCAGGGTGTTAGCCCACTAAAATCCATCATGCGACTTTACTAACCAATTAACACTACATAAAAAGGTGGGATATTTGCCATCCCAACTCTGGGAGAACCAAGTAATAGGAAACAAATGAATCCCATCATAAGAGTCTCCACACTAATTTTTATTATACAAATTTATAAACTGATTTTTGTAAAGGACTAGGTTTTGAAAATATATTTCATTTGATGTTTTCTACCGGCATAAATGAATTAAAATGATAATTTGACAGTTGTTAAGAACAGTTGCCATAGATAATTTGCATGAAGAAGAAAAAAACAAAACCCCTGCAAATGGCTATTGAGTTGAAGTGTTGCTTTTGATATGTAAGAGATACTCAGAATGCTCGCAGCGCTGAAAAATGCCTCAACTTTTTAAAGAAAACACCTTGAGTGGCATCTAGGTTTCTAAGAAGAATGATGACACAGTTTGGATTAAGTGTCTTGGACTGATTTCAACCAGTGCTTTGTACTGGATCTGCTGAAGCATCCGTCCAGCTTGGTATCCTGTGAAAGTTTGTTATTTTCTGGGTAGACATTCTTATAGAGTTTTGTCTTTAAAATCAGATTGTCTCTTCTATATTGAAAGCATTTTTATGTTTTCTAATTTAAAAATTAATATTTTCTTATAGATATTGTGCAATAAAGCTGATGTAGGATGTGTGGTTTTTGCAAATGCTTTAACGACTGATAAAATTTTACATTTGTAAAATTAATATATTGTACTGGTACAAAATAGTTTTAAATTATATTTTAAAAAGCTCTCATTGTGGTGGTGTGTTTTCTTTTCACAGATTGAGTTTAATAGTGCAAATGCAGTATCATTGACTATGTCCTTAGTCCTTAAGTATTTTGTTGAAGATGTTTGGAATGGCTGCATATATGGGAAATTTCTCTTATTGCATCTTTTGATTTGTCCAGTGCATCTTAACAACTGTCACTTATAAGACAAAGGAAAAAATCCATCTGAAGAAGATTGTTACCCGTTTACAAATTCAGATGCCCCCAACCCCCATCCCAGTTTTCCTGTTTCACATCTGCAAAGTAGATGAATGATGAGTGAGACAGATTGAAAACACAGTTGATTTTGACAGTCATGTATGAGCTTCTTAGTTACTGCAAATGTTGCCTGTAAGGATAGAATACTCTACCCAGTTGCGATAGACAGTAGCCTTCTTCCCTTCTGAATTCTGAACTGGGAAGTCAAAAGAATAGGGCATAGGTGGCCCGAACATCACCTTTATTGCTACTAAAATGGGTATTGGGTAATGTGGCTTATACTTGGGGAAAATGGGCTTTCTCATACTGAACCCAGAACGTGATCAACAAGCCAACTGCTATCAGCTCTGCACGCTGGGGCAGGGCTTCTGTCATCAAGCTTTGTGCTCAACCAACAGCCACGGTGCTCCCTGGAGGCAGGACTCGCCAAAGAGACAGTCTGGTGAGGAGCAGTGGAACACAAGGAGGAGCAGAACAACCTCTTGCAGTTCCTTACTGGAACTTCCCACTAGGTAAGTCAACCCCAGGGGAGGAAAGGCATGAGGGGTAGAGGGAAGCCAGGAGGTACTGGATGCCCTTCTAATGGTAAGTAAACCTATAGAATGGAGAATAAGTCTCCTCGTCCCACCTCAAATAAAAAATTTCTACATATTTTTTAATTATTCAATACTTATTTAAAAATGGGTAATATTGGACCTCCCCAGTGGTTCAGTGGGTTGAGTGCAGCACTGTGAAGCTCTCTGCAGCCTCTGTAGCGCAAGTTCGATTCTGGGCCAGCCAGGGAGATTCCCACATGGCGCAGCAGACCTCTCCTGTCTCGCCCGCTGCTCCCCTCAGCAGTGCTTTTGGTCTGTCTGCCTGTTCTGCTCCCCGCTCTGTCTCTGGTGAGTCCTCTCTCCCTCCCATGCCTCTGGCCTGTACCCCAGCCTTTGTATAAATAAAAAATAAATCTTTAAAATAAATAAATAAATAAAAATAGGTAATGTCATTCATTAGAAGAAAATAGTGAAAAGGACACTTTGAGTTTTTCACACTACCGGGAAGTAAATTTATAATTATGGAGCTTAAGAAGTAGAAAGAAGACCAGACTGAGGTACTATGAATGGATTAATAATCTGTCATGCCTTTAAGCTGGTATTCTTCAGACCAACCCTGAATGTTTCTCTATATGCTTCTAAGAGGCACACGGGGAGGGTGACTGGTGCTATCCCTTGGTCTTTTCCATATTGTTCTGTTCCAGCTCTTAGCTAGCATTCTCCTCTTAGAAAAGTGAAAACCCCAAAAGAAAAACGGCAGCTACTATGGAAAGTCATAAAGTTTACAAATTCTTAATTAAGAGGTAGTGATTAAGTTGACTTTCTTAAAAAAAATTCACTTTGAAACATATGTTTGGATTTCTTGACTTAAACATTTTTTTCCTGGCAGAGACGAATATGGGTGTGTCTAGGGTGTGGTGGTGAGAACTGGGAAGTTTGGTTTCTTATATGAAATAGCCAAGAGTAGAACTGATAGATCACACAGTAGATGTGGGCTTACTTTTATAGGAAATTCCTTCTACATTTTTTACTTGGTTATTACATTTATTAATCATTAATTTATTTATTAATTTGTGAAGTACCTTAGTTTTGGTGTAGTATTCACTATCTATTCCTCCTCTCCCCATATCTTGTTTGATGTTTTTAACAGTAATAGCTTTATGGCTATTATTGGTAAAAATATCAAACAAGATTGGGGAAGAGGATGGCACTTTTCATTAGAAATACGAAAGCCTCTGAAATACGAAAGCCCCGGGATGTGATCAAGCAGTTCTAGGTGAACTCACCCAACAGTCCCCATCCAGGCCATAATTCTCCATCTTTTCTAGAAGTATCAACCTGGAATATATTTTAGATACCTTTCTTTTTATTTTTTTTCATCTTCACATCTACTTTCTTGCACAAATACCACTTTCCAACACCTTTTTATGTGTGGATAAAACACAAGGTCTGGTTCCAGGGAAGCCAATTCATCATTCCATGTCTATTTCTTGCACACCTATTCACTCAAAGCTGTGGTGAGGATTCGTTTAAATGATACGTGAAGATGCTTTGAAATAACTGTCAGACTTTATGAAAGATTTTAAGCTAACACTCTAAATTTACAAATCAAACAGACCTTTTATCTAAAAGTTTGGAAATACTGTTAATATGAATGTTTTTATCTGAATTAGTACTAAGTGGGTTTGAACTAGCATTTAGTGCAGGTCGTCAGTTTTTGGCTGCTACATGGATTCATATAATCAATGTAATTTCCTTACTCAAGGACCTACTGCTTAATCAAGTACCAACTAGGTGTGAGGCATTTTTTTTTTTTTACACATTTTACATGTTTTAACTCGATTCAAACCTGGCAACAATTTAATCAAAACATTGAGATGCACATTAACCAAGAAGTCAAATGTAGGTAGTATTGATCCAGTCTCTGTTCTTAAACACTTTGCAGAGCTTGCAGTCATCATCATAGTTTGTTTAGACAGGAAATATCTGGATATTAAGGCCATCATCACTGTAGTTGCAATTCTTTTCTACTTTGTTATTTGCTATGCATTTTAATCTCATTCCATATTTCTACAGCATTTTCTGTGGATAAGATGATAAGGATACTAAGATGAGCTGTCAGTTTTTAAAATTAATGCTTACTACTGGAGAATAAATGTAAACCATGTGACGAAGTGAATTCAGGGGTGAGAAATTAATGTGAAGTTGGTGATGGTTGATGTGTTGTGGACTGTTTGGATAGGTTCATGAAATATCTTGCTAAAGAGCCTGGACTTTAATTTAGTGGTCAACACACCACTAATGATTACTGGAACTTAAAGTGTGTAGGAACAAAATGTTCAAAGTTGCAACTACATTTTCACAGGGAGGTCAGACATTGAACAAGTAATTATAGGTGTGAAGAGTGCTATAATGGAAGGCGGAGCTTATAGTGGTGGCCCCCAGAGTGACTTCAATCAACATACAAGCTAAATAAAATTAATACTTATTAAGCAAATGTGATCTCAAGTTTCCTAGGCACTTAAAATATCTCCATTCCAGGGCCCTGTCTATAAGGAAATTCTGTAGCTTCTATTAATACAGTGCTGAGGTTGTAAAAAGGAAGGCACATCTGGTTAAGAAGGTGCTTAGGGAAAGTTTCCCAGAGAACTTATTTTTAAGCTAAATGATAAAGGGTGAATGGACACTGACTAAGCAAAATTTGGAAGAAGGCAGGCAGAAACCATGTAGGCCGAGAAATCCCCGAGGCAGTCAAGAATCACAGAACTGAGAGACTCCAACGTGACAGGATTAAGAGGGAGCAAATAGTAGTAATGGGTGATGTTCCAGGACCATAAAAGAGCCATATTAAGAATACGGAATTTTCTTTTAAGGGAACTAGGAAATGGCTGTTACACATGATCAAATTTTGTGAGGAAAAAAACTAAATTTTGGCAATGGATTGGAAAATTGCGATTACACACTATCGAACAATTAGATAACTTAAAAACCTTACCCCTAAAAATATCTGGAAATGCTGGAAAATGCAATAAATTTAAGGACATAGCTGAGTTATAGGGAGAAAAGTCAATCTCAAAAGTGTCATATAACTAACAGGAAATTAAAAACAAGGGTCAACACATACGGTGATTCTTTCGTCGCTAGTTGCTATCTCTGAGTCAGGGACTTAGGTTTTAATGTCTATGAATCCAAGGAATCCACCCTCCCTAATTTCCTTCCCCTCTCCTCCACATATCCCAGAATCTGTAAAGGTCTGCACACATTAGTGCAGTAAAACTTTGAAAGAAGTGGTAGTTGTTAAAAATAGAGAATAAAGCATTGACGAGTTAAATAGGCTATATAAAATAGTCAAGGATAGAATGAGTGAACTAGAATACAGAACTAATGAAAATGGTACAGAAAGAAAACAGCTAAAGACATGGGAAATAGGAAACAGTAGCAAGGAGACAGGGTAGTCCATAGAAAAATGTGAATTCTATTAGGGTAGAATGTTTTGATCATTGCAGTACGTTAAATGCTTCAAACAGAGGCAGGCTCAATTGGTGCTAAATATTAAAGTTTAAGGCCTCCCCGATGGTGCAGTGGTTGAGCGCTGGGTTGCGAAGCTGCCTGCAGCCTCTGCAGCGCCGGTTCAATACCCGGCTGCTCCCCACCAGAGGAGGGTCTCTCATGGCGCGCAGACCTCTCCTGCCGCCCGCTGCTCCCCTCAGCAGTGTACTTCGGTCCTTCTGCCTGCTCTGCTCCCCACTCTGGCTCTGGTGAATTCTCTCACCCTCCCGCGCTTCTGACTGTACCCAGTGCTGGTATAAATAAATAAATAAATGAAAATAAATCTTTAAAAAATATATTAAAGTTTAATAGTTATTAGAAACTACATAAGGAGAGAATAGAAAAAGGCAATATCCAATGAACTGAAATTTTAGTTGATTAAGGATATAAAGATTTGAAACCAGTGAATCCCAAGCAGGATCAATTATTGAGTTCCACGTCTGCCTATGAAGGTATAACATATCACATTACTTGCACACCCATTTTAAATGAGAATAATGGGCCAAATATATTAAGCAACTGTTTTCAGACTGGGCAGTAGGAATAACAGGATTATTTTCTCAGAGAGAAGGAAATAAGCAGAGTGAACTCTGTTGATATCGCCTTTCTTCCCAAGGCAGCTTCATAATTGTGGCACAGGGGAGGGAATCCAGTATCATCACTGAGTCAAGATAGAGGTTGAAGTTTTGAGGAAGCTAGAATTTGCTCTTAAGAGTACTGGAATGGAGGGCCTCCCCTGGTGGCGCAGCGGTTGAGCGCTGGGTTGCAAAGCTGCCCGCAGCCTCTGCAGCGCCGGTTCGATCCCCGGCTGCTCCCCAGCCACCGGAGGAGGGTCCCATGTGGCGCTCAGACCTCTCCTGCCACACCTGCTGCTCCCCTCAGCAGTGTACCCAGTAGTATAAAAAATTAAATAAATCTTTAAAAAAAAAAAAAAGTAAAAGTAAAAAAAAAGTACTGGAGTGGAAGGAACTGTGCAGAGAAAGAGCAATTCTGTTCAGGGTTCCGAGTCTTAGATGAACATTAATCTGTGCCGTGTGTAGGTTGAAATTTCATGAAGCTAGGTAAAGAAGAGCAATAAAGAACAATTCCAGGGAACGGTAAGCTGAACAACTCTGAGCTCACACAGGGTTGGGTATCCCTCATGCACTCAGCTGACAGGGTGGACAGACCTTGTAGGCTAAACAAGGTAGAAAATGAGGAAATGTTAGGGGGAAAGGATGTCCTGAGCGAATCCCATACAGGCTTTGTGGATGCCACCCCCACTCCATCAAGACACTGGGAACTACAAATCCCAGGATCCCTGAAGGGAAGTTGCGAGGACCTAAGGGCGGAGTTAAGCAGCAATTTTCTCATTTTGTAAGTAAAAACCAGCCATGTTAGTGGGGTTGAAGCTCACTTGGCTCCTGCTCTGCTCTTGGCTAGGCACTTTTGGTCTTGGCGGGTCACTTGGGATTCCAGGTCTGCAGAACAGGTAGGACACATTTAAGACTTTATCTCCCTCTTTTCTCCCTGAGTTATACATTTCTCATTCCCCTTTCCTTGTAAATAAACCTTTGTTAACTTTTTGTGTGTGCCTGCAGTATAACTCCCTTTTGAGCATGCGGGTGAGGACCCACAGTCAGGCAACCCATTTTATTTTATTTATTTATTTTTTTGTTTTACATCTTTATTTTTTTTTATAATAAATTTTATTTTTATATTCCCCATACAATTGGCAACCCATTTTAGAGCGGAGTTGCCCTGTAACAGCTAGACAGTTATAATTTATGTAAATAAGAACAATGCATAATTTATGTAAATAAGAACAGTGCAAAATCCATTCTATTTATTAAGAAAAAGATATTCTACTAGATTGGACAAAAGATATAAAGGATTCTGAGAATGGGAATGACCAATGAACACTTGAATTTGTAAAATTAATTCAGTGAGATAGTCTCATAATTGAAGCCATTTCAGTTATTGACATGGTTAATTTCAATATCTAGTAACATTGAATGAATACTGCAATTCCTATGTAGGGAAATGGATTTATTAGGAGTTAGGAGAGTGATATGCTCATTGTATCAGAACTGGAACAAGTACTTTAGAGAGCAACTCCACTGCTAGGTATCAACTCCACAGTAACTTGTTCACATGTGTACAAGGAAGCAGAATATTCACTGTGTTAACTTGTAATAATGAAAAAGTGGAAGCAAATTTCGTCTCAAAAGAATTAAGTCTGGTTTATTTATAATAAAATACTGTACAATGGAAAAAATAAATGTACATCTGCCAAATGGAGAAAGCTCAAACAATGCTGAGATAAAAGGCAGCTGCAAAAAGATATATACAATATTATAACACTCATGTAAAATGTTAAAATACAAAACAATACCAAAAAGTCGATGGGTAAGTGCTACAGAAGAACACAGAAATATCTACAACATCTATAAAAATACAAGACCACGAAATTAATAATAATAACTGACTTTGGGGATAAAGATCAAAGCTAGAACAGAAAATGTTAGAAGAGAATGACCTAAAGTAAAAGTGAAGGAATTCAATGGTCTAGAGTAGGAATTGGCAGACTTATTCGATGAAGACAAGTGTTTTAGGCTTTGCAGTCAGTCAGAGATAAAAATTAAGGATGTTAAATATTTTGTTGGAGTTCAAAGTTAGTATTTCATTAAAATGACAGATTGATTTTTTTTTAATTGTTTAAAATAATGAAAATCATTCTATGCTTGCTTGCAGTTTGTATTGGTCCGTAGGCTATAGTTGACATAGCTTGCCTAAAACAACTTGTCTGATAAAACATTCTGTGATGATGGAAATGTTCTGTAGCTGCATTATCCCCAATTTGATAACTACCACTATAGTGGCTACTAGGACTGAGAAATAGAATTTTAAATTGTATTTAATGTTAAATATTTGTTAACAAACGCTGGAGTGTCAAAGAATCGAAGAACTATTTCTAAGGGAAATTGTTGAACAAACTGGCAAAGTAAGATTTTGGTGGGAGAATATAAATCATATAAAGCAGTGATTCTATCAAAGATAGAAAAATTGGGGTGCTGAAGAGGATTTTGGTGTGACTACTATGGAATACAGAAAGATACAGATATGCAGTCAAGAAAATGTTGAGGTCAGAATTGGAAGGGTCACCTAATAAAACAATTTGTTGAGCATAGACCTGAAAATTCCACAGTGCAGAGTTGGAAGAGAGAAATGGTAGGTTGATATTAAGTGGAGAGCAGAGTTTCGTAGCAATGGCTGTGGGAAATACCAAGGTGGGGGGTGGGGTGGGGAGAAACCCCCAGGAAGCATGAGAATAGTGCAGGTGAGAAGACCATCAGGTATTCTACCTTTGATATTTAAAGAACAGAAGAAAAACACAAGCACTATCACAGACAAACTTTATTGTTCTCTAAGCACCTACAGTGCCTTAAAGTTTAATGAGGTATATACAAGTATAGGCTATAAACTTTTACAACTGAACTAATTCTCATCTCAAAAAAATACAAAAAATCACTTGACATTCACATATTTAATATTTGATTTTTTTTGAATAAATAAGGAACTATTCCAAAAGTACACCTGGAGCTTGGGGTTCAGTTTACCTAGCCCCCGAATCCAAGCAGCCATCAATTCTCTAGTCATGATTTCATATGCATTTTATCTGGAAAATTAAATACAACAATTACATAAGGTATTTGTAAGGTGTACAGTAATGTGAATGTTAAAGATTTTTTTTCATTCAAATATTACATAAGTAGTTTCAAAAGATCCTCTGCCTGTGTTCAAAAATCATTCCCCCTAGCATTCCACTTAAGGGATCAATAAAGATGTCAGAAGTTTATAATGAATGCATCTTAATTTAAATAATCATTGATCTCCAAAACATTGGTATAGGTACATTTTGATGAAAATTTAGGATTTGGGGCAGTATAGGAATCTAAACTATTATAGTGCTTAAGTTCAGTTATTTATATTCAAAAGAAAAATTAAACCAAATTTATCAAAGGTTTAAAAAAATACACTTGGAACAGAATTTTGGAAAAATGTTCACATCTAGAGTCAAGAGAACATTCTATGGCAATAGTTCAACCCATCTGAACTTACAGATTCTCAGAGTATAATAAGGGAGTATAGGATGAATTAAACAGCGCTGAAAAAATGCTTTTGCATTTGCTTTATACTTTTTTTTTTTAGAACTTTTTTTTTTTGGAATTTCTCTTCTGCTTGAAAACAGGTGAATTCAAGAAACACAAATCTGTAAATGGGTCCCCTCTTCTCAGTTTCCTGTAAAGGTGGGAAGAGATTTTAGACATAGTTACAAGCATACCAACACTAACTCACTCTTCAGAACAAACTTATTGCAAAATATGCCAATGTTAATATTCCCACTTCAGCTTTTACCCGAATTTTATAATTTAAGACACATCTTGATCAAAGTGCCATAACCTTACTCCTCAAAAATTATTGTTAAAAGTGAGTTCCCACAAAGCTAATACTTACGAAGTCAGTGTCGGTTCCTTATAGTTCACGATGGCAGTGCACCTACGTTTACGCAGAGACACTGCTGGGCTTTCTTTATTATTTTTTGGAGAAAGTTTTCTGATTTTCTCTATGGGATTCAAGGGGACATTGGTGATATCCTTTAGGCTTAAACGAGGTGACTGCTGAGTTTCAAGTAGTGTACCTACAAAGACAGTTTTACTGAGTATGGTTCCAATAACAACAAAAATCACAGGAGAAAAAAAAATCACAGGAACTAAAATTGTGAACAATTACAAAATCTTTATAATACAAAATTCAACATTTTACAATATAGATTTTTTAACGTTTCATTATTTTTTTCCTTTTCCTCTCATTCTGGATAACATTAAAATGTGAATTGTTACAGATGTATAGAACTGATACAAGTTTATTGAAACAATAAAATTCTTCTAGGATTGAGTGGGCATGATAAATTAGTTGTAAATGATGGAATTTCATTTTAGTTACACCTGCTTCTTAGAATTATCAGTGTCTCTCTCAATACCAAAGTTTATCATCCAGTGGCTGCCTGTTGTCATATAATGTCACTTAAATTCATTATATTCAATAAATGAGAACTCTCAATCAGAGCTTCTGTGTTAATTAGAAGTCTACAAAAACTAAAAACTTCAGTACAACTAGTAAGTTAAAAAGTTTATGAAGTATTTTTCTTATCATAAGCACCCAAGCTGTTCTACTTTGGAGCTGTAACTATACTTGGAGACAGGTACTGAGCACATAGTAAGGAAACAGCAACACAATCTCTTTGAATAGCCTTTTTTTTTAAGACTTATTTTTATGCCTACAAGAGCTGGGGTACAGACCAGAGGTGCAGTGGGGTGAGTGGGGGGCAGTGAGGGATTCACCAGAGACAGGGTGGGGAACACAACAGGCGGATTGACTGAAATACACTGCTGAGGGGAGCAGTGGGCGAGGCAGAGAGGTCTGCTGCGCCATGTGGGTTACTCCGTGGCCAGGGATTGAACTCATGCTGCAGTGGCTGTGGTTAGCTTCACAAATTGCTTCTTAACCCCTTGCGCTAACAGGGAGGCCCCCTGAATAGCTTTTGAAAAGCAAATCATTTCAAATGACTTTGTATTTCGCAACATGTTCTCCAAGGTTTCTGGGTTTTAGATCTTCTGTCCTTTTTGTCCCCATAATTGTACTATATTATTTTCCAATGTTCAGTTTAGAAAGTATGGTTAAGTGGGTTCTGATTTAAGGGAATGCGGTATAGTTGAGGTCTGCATTTCTAAATTTCCAGGTGGTGCTAATGGTGATGGTCTGAGCACCAAACCCCGAGTAACACTGTTTTAGAGTGTGTATTTGTTTTAAAAACATATGGAACTTTTTAACTGTTAAAGAGGGTTTAAATTAGTTTGAAGCAGGTCAGAGCAACAGAATTGTGCTTTTCACCTTCAACTCCACCCCCCCCCAATTTAATCAAACTATAACTGACACCCTCCCACCCAAAGAAACAGATGGTAAGGCTAACCTACTCCAGAAAAACAGATGGTGAGTATAGTATGTAAGCACCAGGAGTAATCATTTATCATAAACATTAAAAATGCAGGCAAGCAATTTACTTACTTGTAGGAGTTTTTATTGGTTTAGAAGCTTCAGTGTCTTTTTCATCCATATACTTTAATGCTCTTTTAGATCTAGGGCTTCTGTCTGATTGGCTGGAGAGATCGTCAATGTGTTTGCAAGTGGGCAGATAGAGGTCACCAGAATCTTCTCCTGATTCACTTGATTCAGAGATGCTCACTTCAGATTCATGGCTGTTTTCTTCTCTTTTAGAATCGTTGCTTATTTTTTGCCGGAAAGGAGTGAGATGAACACCCTCTTCCAAATTAAAATTGTAAGCATCACTGGAAGTGACAGATTCATCCAACTTTTCTCTGGAAATAGTCTTTTTATTTCCACTTTTATTCCCTCTATCCTTTGTAACAGATTTTGACTTTCTGTTTCTGTTAGCTTTTCTTCTCTCTTCTTTTTTCCTTCTGTGTGCATTTCTAGGTCTACTTTTAGTTTGTTCAGATTTATACCCTAAAACATTGTCTTTTGCTGCAGTACAGCCTCCTGGGTAAATAAGCTTTGGTGACTTGTTAATTTGCTCTGAATTCGCCTGACAAGCATTTTGTCCCCCACTTTCAGAAATGTGCATGTTTATTAGTGGGTCCACAAATCTAGTTCTTTCCAATTCAAAAGACTCCCTTGACAAGTGACTGATATCAAAATCATCCAAGGTATTGAACTGACAAAATTTTTTCTTCCAACCGCGACGCAGAGATACAGTTCTAGGTAAGATATTGTCAGTATATTTATCTTCACCTGAATTCAAATCAAACCCCAGTGTGTCTTGGGGGATAGACTTTTGCTCTGAGAATTAAAAAAAAAAAAAATTAATAATAAAAGTGGCTTTATAGAAATTTTAATTATAAGAATTTTAAGAATTGAAAGTTAAAAACAGAATGAATGAAAAGTCATACAGCAGTTTCCCATTCTTACTGTAATAGAAATCTGGGGAACTTCATATTGCCATCTCTTTATTGGCAATGATCAACTAATGCCTTGTATTTGAGCTATGTATGAAAGAACCTTATATAACTCTCAGAAATATTCTAATTTATATTTTATGTGCCCCTGGTTTTAAAAAAACTAGTAGTTTACATGTATCTTCCCAGAGGAAAAGAACCTCAGGGAGGTAAGTTGTTTTTGAAAAATGGTTAAGATCGGGAAAATTGGAAAGTCAGTCAGGTAAGAAATATAATCTGTATTTTTAAGGAAAAGTCGTATTTGGAATGAGGAAAAGATATATGGTTCTGCTTCTTCAAATGTTACCCCTTCTTCAAATCTTGATATAAGTAGAGAGAACTGATATTTGAGAACAGGTACACATCAGTTTAAAAGTAGAAAGGACAATGATTTCGAGGTGAGTTTTGAGATAAAAGCCTAGCATTTACCATCTGGCCTACTTGTGAGATGCTCTGAGTCTAATAAAATGGGATCAACTGTACCTATATCCCAAGGTTCTTGTGAAGGCTAAGCGAGATAATGAATGTAAAATGCCTAACACAGAGCTTGAAACATAGTAGGGCTAGCAAATTGCAGCCATGGTTATAAACAAAGCTTCTGATGATATATTTGGCACAATAAATAGGCATATTTTAAAACTCTTACTATTCTGTTAAGTCCCAGGCAGGCAGATAAGTTAGACAGACAAAAGAATCATGAGAAATTTAATTGTGTTGTTTGTTCTTAAGATTTTTATCTTGCCCATAATAGTTATTTTTAGATTTTCCCTTGAGTTACCTTCTTTTTGGAATGATTCTCCTTGTTCTATAAGTTGAGCTTCCCGAAGAGGAACTTGCCTTAGAAAGTACCAACAAAAAAATAGGATTTTTAAAAACAGTTTTGTAATAGACATTTAAGTTTTTAAAAATATTTAAGTTTTCACAATTCCATCCTAAATCAGTATATCTGTTCTTTATCAAGGGAATCCAAAAAACATTTATGCTGATTATATGAAAGCTGACTTGTTATGATTCTGACATTCAACTCCCACTGGAAAAACTAACATATCAAGTTGGACAGTTCCTCCTGAAGCCATGCCATAACCCATAATTTCATTTAACTGGAGAAACAGCCAATCAGAATTGATTTATAAAATATTTTAAAGAAATGCAGTTTGATTACTCAGCTCTTTCGGAGCCTGCTCTCATTAGCCGAACTGTGATTTTTTTTGGTAACACATCCTTTCATGGTGCTTAACTACTGACTCCTCTGAAATTCTCAATTCACTTTTATAAGGAAATCTTGGCGCCCTTGGGTCATGAAACAAAAATTTTCTTTGTGTGCTTTAACTGCTTCATTCTAATGATAATTTTATTATTTATATATTTTGTTGTTGTTGTTCCTTCTTTTTTTTTTTTAAATAATAAATTTTATTTTTATATTCCCCATACAATTGCAGCCCCCCCATTCTGACCCCAATCCCTCCCCTCCCGCCCCCGCCCCCCTAAAAGTGTCTCTGGTTCATAGTTTTTTGTTGATTTTGATTTTCACTTTCTTATGGTTATTCATTTTCCTGGTCCCTTATTTAAGTTTTCTAGATTCCTGCTAAGAGTGAGACCATCCGGTATTTTTCTTTTTCTTTTTGGCTTATTTCGCTGAGCATGATCCCTTCCAGCGCCATCCATGTTGCTGCAAATTGCATGTGTTTATCTTTTTTGAATGCTGAGTAATATTCCATGGTATATATGTACCACATCTCCTTGATCCAGTCATCTATTTTTGGGCATTTGGGTTGTTTCCAAAGCTTAGCTATTGTAAACAGTGCTGCTATAAACATAGGGGTGCAGGTGTTCTTTGGAATTGATGTTTCTGTGTCCTTTGGGTAAATACCTAGGAGTGGAATTGCTGGATCATATGGAAGCTCTATGTTTAGTAGGTCCAGAAATCTCCACACAGCTCTCCACAGTGGTTGGACCAGTTTGCACTCCCACCAACAGTGCAGAAGAGTTCCTTTTTCTCCACACCTTCGCCAACATTTGTTGTTGCTAGTTTTTTTAATATGTGCCATTCTCACTGGTGTAAGATGGTATCTCATGGTAGTTTTGATTTGCATTTCCCTGATGACAAGTGATGTTGAACATTTTTTCATATGTCTGTTGGCCATTTGCATTTCCTCTTCAGAGAAGTTTCTTTTTAGCTCTTCTGCCCATTTTTGACTGGGTTATTTTCTTTGTTGTTGTTGAGTCTCATCAGCTCTTTGCAGATTTTTGTGATCAGTCCTTTATCATTAGTCTTGGGTGCAAAAATGTTCTCCCAGTTGGTGGGGTTTCTCTTTGTTTTTGTTATTGTCTCTTTTGCTGTGCAGAAGCTCTTTAATTTGATGTAGTCCCAGCTGTTTATCTTTGCCTTCACTATCACTGCTTTGGGTGATGTGTCTGTAAAGATGTCTTTGATGTGCAAATCACGTAGTGTTTCGCCTATATTTCCTTCTATGTATTTTATGGTTTCAGGTCTTATGTCTAGTTCTTTAATCCATTTTGAGTTGATTTTTGTGTATGGTGTGAGGTAGTGGTCAAGCTTCATTCTTTTGCATGTAGCAACCCAGTTTTCCCAGCACCATTTATTGAACAAACTTTCTTTGCTCCAATGCATAGTCTTTGCTCCTTTGTCAAAGATTAGTTGACCATAAAAATGTGGGTTTATTTCTGGATTTTCTATTCGATTCCATTGGTCTGTATGTCTGTTCTTGTTCCAATACCATGCAGTTTTGATGATTATGGCTTTGTAGTATAGTTTGAAGTCTGGGAGTGAGATGCCTCCATTCCCTTCTTTTTTTTTTTCAGTAGAGCTTTGGCTATTCGGGGTTTTTTGTGATTCCATATGAATTTCATCAATAATTGTTCTATTTCTTTGAAGAATGACATTGAAATTTTGATTGGAATAGCATTGAATCTGTATATTGCTTTTGGAAGGATGGCCATTTTAATGATGTTTATTCTTCCAATCCATGAGCAGGGGATGTCTTTCATTTCTTTGTGTCTTCTTCTATTTCTTTTAACAGTGTTTTATAGTTTTCTTTGTATAGGTCCTTTACCTCTTTTGTTAGATTTATTCCCAAATATTTGATTTTTTTGTTTCAATAAAAAAAGGGATGGTTTTTTTTGATTTCTTCTTCTTCAGATTTATTGTTTGTGTATAGGAAGGCTACTGACTTTTGCGTGTTGATTTTGTATCCTGCCACTTTACTGAACTGATTGATGAGTTGAATTAGTTTTTCTGTGGAGTTTTTGGGGTTCTCTATGTATATTATCATATCATCTGCAAATAGTGATAGTTTGACTTCTTCTTTCCTATTTGGATTCCTTGGATGTCTTTCTCTTGTCTTATTGCTCTGGCTAGGACTTCCAGTATTATATTAAAAAGCAGTGGTGAGAGTGGACATCCTTGTCTTGTTCCAGATCTTAATGGAATTGCTTTCAGCTTTTCACCATTGAGAATGATACTGGCTGTTGGCTTGTCATAGATGGCCTTTATGATGTTGAGGTATGTTCCTTGTATCCCAAGAATTTCAAGGGCTTTTATCATGAATGGGTGTTGCACTTTGTCAAAAGCTTTCTCAGCATCTATTGATATTATCATATGGTTTTTATATTTCTTTTTGTTGATGTGTTGGATAACGTTGATTGATTTTCGGATGTTAAACCATCCTTGTGTCCCTGGAATGAATCCTACTTGGTCGTGGTGAATTATCTTATGGATACATTGTTGGATTCCGATAGCTAAAATTTTATTGAGGATTTTTGCATCAGTGTTCATTAGGGAGATTGGCCTGTAGTTTTCCTTTTTGTGTTGTCTTGTTCGGTTTTGGTATAAGTGTAATGTTGGCTTCATAGAACGTGTTTGGTATTGTCCCTTCCTTCTCAATTTTTTGGAAGAGTTTGTGAAGGATAGGCACTAATTCATCTCTGAATGTTTGGTAGAATTCATTTGTAAATCCATCAGGTCCTGGGCTTTTTTGTTTTTGGGGAGGTTTTTGATTACCATTTCAATTTCGCTGCTTGTAATTGGTCTGTTTAGGTGTTCTATTTTTCTTCTTTATCTAGCTTTGGGTGATTGTAGAGTTGTAGGAATTTGTCCATCTCCTCTAGATTGTTGAACTTGTTTCCATATAACTGTTCATAGTAGTTACTGATTATTCTTTTGATTTCTGCTGTGTCCGTTGTGATTTCTCCTCTTTCATTGATGATCCTGTTTATTGTGCTTTCTCCTTTTTCCTTTGTGAGCCTGGCTAGGGGTTTGTCTATTTTATTATTTTTCAAAGAACCAGCTCTTGTTTCATTGATCTTTTGGATTGTTTTTTTAGTTTCAATTTCATTTATTTCTGCTTTGGTTTTATTATTTCTTTTCTTCTACTGTTTTGGGTTTTTTTGTTGTTCTTTTTCTAGATCTTTGAGCTTTGAGATTAGGTTGTTTCTTGAGTTCTTCTTGTTTCTTGATGTGAGCTTCTATTGCTATATATTTTCCTCTTATTACTGCTTTTGCTGCATCCCATACATTTAGGATATTGGTGTCCTCCTTGTCGTTCAATTCAAAGAATTTTTTAATTTCTTCTTTGATCTCCTCATTAGTCCGGTGGTCTTCCAGTAGTGTGGTTTTAATCTCCATGAGGTAGGAAAGTTCCTTGCCTTCTTTTATGGTTTATTTCTAGTTTGATGCCTTCAG